TGTCTATATTTTAGTGCTTTAAAACAGGATGATTTCATATTTGGTCACCAGCTTGACAGTGGTGAGTTGTAACGTGTGAGCACTTTCCAGTCTATAGACACCTACTTCCTGTTTGCCGATACTTTGAATCTTCGATGGGGATATGCGTAACACGGCAACGCGTGTATTCTTGTTTGTGTTGATTCAAAACTGTGTGGGCGAAAATCTTGGCTTGCCTGCTGATCATTTTTGCTAATCCAAATACCTTTATTTACATTATACTTTAAGCGGTAATAATCAGATTTTTTAAAAACTTGGTCAAAGTTATGATTTAGAGGCTACAACTCTTGTAATAAGTCAATTTTCATGTACCCCTAATTTTGACATTTATACCTATTGTGTCTGTTTGTTTTGTTCACACATTGTGGTCAATATAATGGAATTTTTATGCGACTGTCATACAAGTGAGAGGTTTAGCTAGCTATAAAACCAGGTTTAATCCACCATTTTCTACATAGAAAATGCCTGTGCCAGGTCTGGAATATGACAGTTGTTAACCATTCGTTTGATGTGTTTGAACTTTTGATTTTGCCATTTGATTAGGGACTTTCCGTTTTGAATTTTCCTCGGGGTTCGGTATTTTTGGTATTTTACTTTTTGTAATAAGTCGATTTTCATCGGGGGGAACACTTCAGTCAAACATCTGAGAAATGTACCAAAAACAGAAATTGTTGGTCATAAGGAAGAGAGGGGGCTGGATCTGCTCCTCCTTTTTAACATTTAAATGATTTGAACTTATAAAATATGATTACATATCAATTGATATTATTTACTGCAGAATAGTAGAATTTTGTCTTTAAGTATTGTCTTTGCCATTGAGTTTTCTAACACTTATTTTCCGAGTAGAAACATACTATTGCTTTATAGCATCTATTTTATTTGAACCTGGCAGTTTTCGTGATATAAGGTAAAGACACTAAAATTGGTCAAAATCATCATTTATATGCAATTACTACTATAACGATTCGAATGACGAATTCGATCACAATTATAATTTCTCTCTGTCTACTCTAGTTTCTGTAAATAAAAGCAACGCAAAAATGATTTCAAATCATAATGCAAGAGCAAAACACTATCAGACGTCGAATGAGCCTGATATTGGCCATGATAATTTATTTGTATATCTTGTCTAGCTGATTATTTTTGCATTTCAAAGCATCTGTCTTTATTTTAGTTTTCATGATTATAGCTAAAAACATAAAATTAGGTAAAATTGCTCATTAAAGGTCAATAACTTATATAAGGAATCAGCTGACGATTGTAACTAATTTGTAGATCTTGTTTCTTAATCTGGTTTTTTTTTTTTTTTTTTTTGTTTGTTATTTACAATTTCCAATCTACTAAAGTTTCCACTAACGGAATGAGTAAAATTTCACCAAGGGCAAAAAACTATAAAGAGTCAATTGACCATTTTTGCCATTATGATATATCATTTGCTGGTTAATTTTTCGAGTATGTGACTTTTTATCGCAGAAGCAGGACATCCTGCATCATCGGCGTCGTCAACATGTAGGTTTAATCTCGGTTGTTAAATCTTTTTTAGACACCAATAACTTTGTTTTATCCTCATGGAATTTTATAAAACTTGGACAGACGCTTTTGGTTGATTTAAAGACAGTATCCAGAGCAAATTCGAAGATATTTGTTTCCATTTTCCAATTTTTTACTAATAACAGGGCCGAGTTTAATTTACGCTTTGACAAAAGCTTTTTTTATGATTAAGAGATAACGTCTGACAATTTATCCATATGTTACTGATACAACTACCTAGTGTTTTATGTTCACCGATTTGACCTAAATTCTCATATTTTATTCATAACGTACTCAAACGTATATCCAAATTACAAAAATTCCAAAAGAAACAATTAACAATATAATGTTATAGCATTCCGTGCTTATTTTAGACAAGATGCTATCTAATTATCCACCGAGATGACCACCGAAGACTGTCTACCCGATATAATCAAAGCATCATGGATGATGTGATTAAATAACAAGAGTGCACACGCTGAAATGTCTCGCCTGCATTACTGACCATTGATTTTATGTTGATAGTCCTAAATATAAAGCTTTACTACAAGTATCACATAAACTTAACATGATCCAAGAAAACGAGGTCAAGGTCAGATAAATCAAACTGGAAATACATGTACACCTTCCAATTATTACATACACCAAATATAGTTGACCTATTGCTTATAATTTCTTAGAAACGAACTTAACCAGGAAACTTAACATTGACCAATGAACCATGAAAATGGGGTCAAGGTCAGATGAATCATGCCAGACAGACATGTACACATTACAATCAATCTATGCATTAAATAAAGTTGACATATTGCTTATAGTATCATAGAAACAAACTTAACCATGAAAACTTAACATTGACCAATGCTGAAAATGAGGTCAAGGTCCGATGGTACCAGCCAGACACATATACACCTTAAAATCATTCAATACAGCAAGTATAAGTGACCTATTGCTTATAGTTTAAGAAAAACAGACCAAAACATAATAAAAACAAGAGTGCACACGCTGAAATGTCTCGCCTTCTTTACTAATCATTGATATTATGTTGATAGTCTTAAATATAAAGCTTTATTACAACTGTCACATAAACTTAACATTAACCAAGTAAACTAAACATTGACCAATGAACCATGAAAATGAGGTCAAGGTCAGATGAACCATGCTAGGCAGGCATGTACAGCTAACAATTCTTCCATACAACAAATATAGTTGACCTATTGCTTATAGTTTAAGAAAAACAGACCAAAACACAAAAATTTAACACTGAGCAATGAACCTTGAAAATGAGGTCAAGGTCAAATAAAACCTGTGTGACTGACAAATAGATCATAAAATATTTCCATACACCAAATATAGTTGAACTATTGCATATAGTATTAGAAAAAAAGACCAAAACTCAAAAACTTAACTTTGACCACTGAACCATGAAATTATGGTCAAGGTCAGATGACACCTGCCCGCCAGACATGTACACCTTACAATCATTCCATACACCAAATATAGTAGACCTATTGCATACAGTATAAGAAAAACAGACCAAAACACAAAAACTTAACTATAACCACTGAACCATGAAAATGAGGTCAAGGTCAGATAACACCTGCCAGTTGGACAGTCCTTCCATACACCGAATATACTAGACGTATTGCTTATAGTATCTGAGATATGGACTTGACCAGCAAAACTTAAACTTGTTCACTGATCCATGAAATGAGGTCGAGGTCAAGTGAAAACTGTCTGACGGGCATGATGACCTTGCAAGGTACGCACATACCAAATATAGTTATCCTATTACTTATAATAAGAGAGAATTTAACATTACAAAAAATCTTAACTTTTTTTTCAAGTAGTCACTGAACCATGAAAATGAGGTCAAGGACATTGGACATGTGACTGACGGAAACTTCATAACATGAGGCATCAATATACAAAGTATGAAGCATCCAGACCTTCCACCTTCTAAAATATAAAGCTTTTAAGAAGTTAGCTAACGCCGCAGCCGGATCACTATCCCTATGTCGAGCTTTCTGCGACAAAAGTCCAGGCTCGACAAAAAGGAGTTCTTAATTAAGAAATAAACTGATTCGCTGAGCGCAGCTGGATACACCTGCAGAGGTCCAACCCTGAACAGTTGGGGCAAAAATGGACACAATATTCAAGCTTGATACAGGTCTGAATTTGGATTGTAATTAAATATTTGACATATTATAGTTTCTGAATAAATGTAGTCAAAGAACTTGAAATCGGTTATATGAATTGAATTTATATTCAATTAAAGATTTCTTGCTGTTGTGCAATACACTGTGCTGTTGCGCAATACTTAATAAATCTGTTGCCAGACTGTAAACAAATAAAGTTCAATTTCTTCTCAATGTCATATTTGAAATTTATGAAAATCAATAGGGAGATTACATCAATAGCTATAAATAATTCACCAAAGTTTCATGCGAACTGCTTAAAGCATTTTTGAGTTGTTGTCCAAAAACTGGAAAATCCCCCCTTTTTTAATGAATAAAACCCCACAACTCAGAAATGTAAAATCTAAAATTTATAAAATTCTAAAGGGAGCTTACGGATTGATAATTTAGTCTTAGATGCAAGATTTTTTTTATCAGTTGTTAGTGGCTTTGAACTAGCTGTCAGTAAATGCGAGTACTCTCAGATCTGTACTTAAGTGTCTTTTTGTTGTTTGGATGTACAACTACCCGGCCACGTCCACTTGTATTTGTATTTATCCATCTGATGAGTTAAGCCTCTTTCAACTGATTTTTATAGTTCGTTCTTATATTGTACTGTTACACCACTGTCCCAGGTTAGGGGGTGGGTTGGGATCCCGCTAACATGTTTAACCCCGCCACATTCTGTATGTACATGTATGTGCCTGTCCCAAGTCAGGAGCCTTGTAATTCAGTGGTTGTCGTTTGTTGATGTGGTGCATATTTGTTATTCGTTCATTTTTTGTACATAAATTAGGACGTTAGTTTTCTTGTTTGAATTGTTTTACATTGTCATTTCGGGGCCTTTTTTAGCTCACTGTGCGGTATGTGCTTTGCTCATTGTTGAAGGCCGTACTGTGACCTATAGCTGATAATTTCTGTGTCATTTGGTCTCTTGTGGAGAGTTGTCTCATTTGCAATCATACCACATCTTCTTTTTTATATTTACATCAACAGATATAAACAATTCACCAAAGTCAAACTTAGTTGTAAGATCTCTGAAATTTTTTACACGGTACAAGTTTTTCTAATTGTTCATGTTGTTGGAGATTGTACGGTGACAGTAACACCTGTAACTGCTTAACCCATTTCTTATGCACTTTGGTTTGATAAACTCACTGAATATCATACCACATCTCCTTATTTTTATATGCATTACAATTTACATGTGCATGTAATTGTAAATAATATTTATATATATATATCAGAACAAACTTCATTGCGTCACTTTTATTTATGCATCCTTTGGCACAATACAAGTTCTAAAATTACACAACATAAAACAACTCAATGTTATTTCAGATGAAAGTTTTGTTTCAGTTCCATTCATAGGATTTATTAGAATTTTGTATGTTTTGCCAAGTCCAATAATTAGCTCTATGTGCACGTGTTAATTGGAGACTTTTCTATCCCGTATAAGAGTTTTGGAACTAATTCTGTTTCTTTTTTTGAAAAAAAGTGAGCAAACAAATCTTGCACATTTAAACCTTTGTCTGCCATCACACTGTCACCTGGATCACATAATTGAACTATTCTACATCTTTCAACTATTTCACAGTCACTGGTACAACCAACATATGCATTAGAGACATAGTTGACTAAACCACCAGGTGTCGAACATACAAGTATTTTCAGTGTTTCTGTTTTTATATGATGAAAAGGTTGCCTGAGCTCTAGGAGCTTTAGGTTTTATCACGGGATATTCTGTGCTGTCAATAATAATCCAAGTTGTAGGAAACTTTAATTTGAAGTTGGATGGCGAAAAATACCTGACTAAACCACTTAATGGCCAAGTGTTAGCCTCACGCCACTGTTTAGACATAAAAACAATCCATGTTTACACAATATTCTTAACACTAGTTTCAATCTAGAATCTAGACAGTTCAAAGTTGGTTGTATAATGCCTCAATTTCATCAAAGTCATAAAAAACTGATTTTCAAATGACACCCTATCAATTTGAAAATATATGTATCTCAAACAATGTGCTGCTGGACCAAGTGTGGTGAAAACAAATAAAAATTTAGTATACAACTCTAATACCGGTATAAAAATGCATGGCTGTGTCACGTGTCTTCATTTCAAAATTCTCTGCTGAAAATATAGGCATTGATGGTGTTTGCGTAATTCCATCTGTGAAGCTCAACATTAGCTCGGCAGTTGGTGGTGGACAGTCATAAATCCTGTCTGCAGTATGAATGACTTCTTCAGGAAAACCAACTTTATAATCAAAACTTTCTTCTAGATTTCTACTACAATATTCATCAGGTTTAGTTCTTTTGTTTTCACAGGAAACTGCCCTGATTTTTCTTTTTGCGGACGATTCAGTCTCTTGCTTGGTCAAGGAAAATAGGCTGGGAATGGCAGTAGATTTAAGTCTCTGTATGGTGGGTTTGCGCCCTGAAAAAGGTTATAAAACATTAGTTTTTTGATAATTAAATGAACTTCCATTAGCAATGCATACTTTGTACTACCTGGCAAAATATTAACTAGATTTATTCATTACAAGCTGGATAAAACTATGTTAGCCTGAATCAATGTACATCAAAATGTATGTTATGTAAATCCAAAGGACAAACAATGAGAGACGTATGCAACAAACATACATTGTTTGTACCTAAATAACTATAATATAGATGAGAGCATGTCATTGTTTTGTTCCTGTTAACATTGTCATTGATATTTTTCAAGAAAGTCTATGAGGCATAGTTTATGCATTCCTGTCGTTACTACATTAGCATAATTACTGCTAAAATAATTCTCAGTATGATATACCTCTTGTAAGAAATCATTATAATTGTAGCAAGCATCAAAAAATCTCAAACAGATCACATTGAATCGTAATCCAAAAAATTATGACGTCTTGAATTAACCACCCCCTTTTATTCTAAAACGATAATTGCGGTTGTAAACAGACTTTGGTTTATTCGCATGGCGATTACATATATCGTCTTGGTACCTGTTTTGACGCGGACCAGAAATGACGCACCGATTTAGTTAACGGTTTAATATTTCTAAACAAAAGCCGTGAGGCCATTAACATTTGCTGTTCATAACATGATGTTGAAGGTCATCTTACTACAACAAAGATGCCTAAAACTCTGCCCAGAAATGTTATTATTGCTTAAAATATTAAAGACAATGCAATTTCCGCCATTTTATTAAGGTCAAAAAAATTCTACCCTTCCCCGAAAGATTATCAGTCCTATCTCCACTTTGGTCAAGAAAAGTATGTAACCGTATGCTTCCCCATTTTGTGTTTTTCAAATCACGTGACTGTCATGTGACATGGTTTCACATTTAAGCGGGAATCACTGTAGAACAAATGATCGTCGCTTATATAATTTTCTATGGTTTTGTCGATTTTTTTAATTCAATGTATGAAATACATTGATAAATGTATTATTGTCAATGTTGTTTTAAGATTGCAATTACTTATATATTTTCAAATATATGGAATATGTATATCACTTTCATAAATTTTGAACAAATATATACCAAAATATAGGTTACATTTAAATTGATTAAAAATTTGGTGTTACAATCATCATGATCATTAAAGTGAATGAAATATCAAAAGTTGTTAATAAAATTGAATCTGTTCAACAGTTTTAATTTTAAAGAATCCGGATTGAAGCAATTTTTCGATTATCAGTTACGTGCAAGTGGTTTTTACTGGTTTGTTTACAGTGCGTCATTACTGGTACCCATCATTAGTTGGCAGTCCGTTTGTAATGTTAGCAAACATGAATTTTATTGCTATTACTGTTTCAAATATCAACTGTTTAATGATTGAAATATAATAACAAGTTACCAATCTTTTATTCCATTCCGTTTTTCTAATTCTTTTAAATGGTAGATTATATGCAGAGACAAAACAACCTAAAGTGCGTCATTACTGGTTCCTCGGGGATATAACTATATATTTTAAAAAGAAAATAGAGTTTTACCATGAATAGTTTCCTGCACGTAGTCTTTTTCAGTAAAATCTGCCTTGCAAACAACAGCTGATTGAGATGGACTCCACGATTTCATCGTGTTCTCGTCCAATCTGCGTATGGGCCATGGCGTTGATCCAACTTTTCCTTCCTTTTTAAGTCATTTGGAAATGCATGTCCTCCTCTTAAATGACATCCAGGTACACAACAACAAGTACTTGGCATCGTTAATTTAGTTGCACAGTGCAGAAACCGGAAGTTGAAGAACAGGATCGGCTACCACGGCGCCACCTATTCAGGATCGATAATTTGCTACTTTATATAACTGCGAAATAACAATAACGTTAGACGGGTTCGCGTGCATAAACAGAAATGCGCTTTAAATTGTATAATATAATTCATGTTCAGTCGACCTTTAATTATTATATCAACGACTGAAATGATTTATAAACAACTAGTTTGCAGATAACACTCGAAATTAACCCGACCTCTTTCCACACGGAATTCAAATAATTCTAGTTTGTCAATCGGTTGACTGCTTATAATGTAAAATTCAAATATATCAAAAGTTTTTAAAACTAACAAAACACAATGATCGTTTCTCTATTTTCCAATGTAAATGAAATGAAACAAAAAACATTTAATATCACAATAAGAAGAGGAGAGAATCAACATTTTCCGGATCTACTTGGAGCCTAATGACCCCCCACGTAGATAAGTTGGATATCGCGGAAAGAAAGATTAACACGGCAACTAGAAAGGCATTAAAGCACTGCCTTTAAAAACAGACCAAAACACAAAAACTTAACTATAACCACTGAACCATGAAAATGAGGTCAAGGTCAAATGACACCTGCCAGTTGGACATGTACACCTTACAGTCCTTCCATACACCGAATATACTAGACCTATTGCTTATAGTATCTGAGATATGGACTTGACCACCAAAACTTAACCTTGTTCACTGATCCATGAAATGATGTCGAGGTCAAGTGAAAACTGTCTGATGGGCATGAGGACCTTGCAAGGTACGCACATACCAAATATAGTTATCCTATTACTTATAATAAGAGAGAATTTAACATTACAAAAAATGTTAACTTTTTTTTCAAGTAGTCACTGAACCATGAAAATTAGGTCAAGGACATTGGACATGTGACTGACGGAAACTTCGTAACATGAGGCATCCATATACAAAGTATGAAGCATCCAGACCTTCCACCTTCTAAAATATAAAGCTTTTAAGAAGTTGGCTAACGCCGCCGCCGCCGGATCACTATCCCTATGTCGAGCTTTCTGATACAAAAGTCGCAGGCTCGACAAAAAATTATATATAGCATTTGGAAAATTAGTTTATACAGAATAACAAACAAACCTGCAACAAAATTCTTCAAACAATTTACCTAAGAAAAGAAAAAAAAATCCAAAATGTCATTTATCCTTTATACAATGTCTTTTAAAAATCTTTTAAAAAATGAATTATTTCCCTTTGAACAGAAATGGAGTAATTAATAAGCATTTCATCAAAAATTGAATTCTTGGGAAAGGGCTAACTCAACGAGAAAAGCAAAAATCGTGAAAATTGAACTTGACCTTCATTTAGTCACAGGAAACAACAGATCTAAATTTGAAAAAATTTCTTCAAAGTGTTTTCATGTTAATGAACAGACAGACTGTTTGGCAAACGCCCGCCCGCCCTCCTGCCATACATCCCCAAATCAATAACCGATTTTTCCTTCGAAAATCCAGTTAAAAATTTAACACTGAGGAATGAACCGTGAAAATGAGGTCAAGTTCAAATAAAACCTACCAGACTGACATGTACATCGTAAAATATTTCCATACACAAAATATAGTTGACCTATTGCATACAGTATAAGAAAAAAAGACCAAAACACAAAAACTTAACTTTAACCACTGAACCATGAAAACGAGGTCAAGGTCAGATGACATCTGCAGTTGGACATGTACACCTTACAATCATTCCATACACCAAATATAGTAGACCTATTGCTTATATAGTATCTGAGATATGGACGACCACGAAAACTTAACCTTGTTTACTGACTGATCCAAAGAATGAGGTTGAGGTCAGACGAAAACTGTCTGACAGGCACAAGGACCTTGCAAGGTATGCACATACTATGTTATGCTATTACTCATAATAAGAGAGAAATAAACATCAAAAAAAATCTTAACTTTTTTTTCAGGTAGTCACTGAACCTAAAAGCTTGAAAATGAAGTCGAGGACAATGGACATATGACATACGGAAACTTCATAACATAAGGCATCTATATACAAAGTATGAAGCATCCAGGTCTTCCACCTTCTAAAATATAAAGCTTTTAAGTAGTTAGTTAACGTTGACGCATGTGTAACCTTTCAATGAATTTAAACAACCAATATAGTTGTCTTTAACCTTTCAATGAATTTAAACAACCAATATAGTTGTCTTTAACCTTTCAAAGAATTTAAAAAACCAATATAGTTGTCTTTAACCTTTCAATGAATTTAAACAACCAATATAGTTGTCTTTAACCTTTCAAAGATTTTAAACAACCAATATAGTTGTCTTTAACTAATACATGAGAAGATAATGTGATGAAAATTAGATGTTTTTTTAAGCAGTTGTTGAACTATGAAGATGAGGTCAAGGACAATAGACATATGCCAGACAGAAACTACATGAAATGAGTCATCTGTGTACAAGATAAGAAGTATCCTTCAACCTACTTAAATTCAAAGCTTAATACAAGTAGCTTTCACTGTTGCTGCTGGATTAGAGTCTCTTCGTCTCCAAACCTGGACACATGAAAGACAAAAATCACATGTTTTCCTTTACAGAAAGAAAATCAATAAGAGTATATTCAAATTTATTATAAATGTAATGCAAATTATAAAGTTATTGTATATGGCACTATGGATATATGTCCCAGAAATGTTAATAGTTTGTTGAATCATTATTATGAAAACAAAAAGTTACATGTAAAGTATAATATTGTGGATTCATTTATTTTCGTCGGTACCGATTTTCGTGGATTGAGGAAAACTTGCATTTTTGTGGATTTTTGATTTCATGCTTTTGCCAAAGTCTGCATATAATTTTAAAGACAATTTGTAATTCCTTGAACACTTAATTTTGTGGTTCACCTGTACCCAGGAGATCCATGAAAATTGGTATCCAACGAATAATAATGAATCCTCAGTACCCCCACTTGTTATTAAATTAACAAACAGTTCTATGCTCAATAAGTAAAATAAAAATTCAAAGTATCATCAAACAGGAAATAACTAAAGAGATAAATGTTGTATAGAGTGTCAGTACAACTCAACATGATAAGGATCCATACAAATATCAAAATTATTCCTGACTACAGACATTGAGTAATATGTGGCATTAAATTCCTGCTTAGTTGGTATAATGAAAATTTTAGAATTACAAAAAAAAAGAAATTGACTGCTTTTCAAATCTGCAATAGCTTACATTGTAATATTCAACATTATAAAGCTCAAGACCAGTTTTCAGACCATTCCTTAAGACAAAAGCTGAGTAATATGTAGAAAGCAGAGTACATACATAGCATAATTCATAAGGAGGTCCTTGTCACATGTATTAGTCAATATCAAAATTAAACCAGGCCATTAAACCTCCAAAATTTGATTTTAATGATTTAGAAGCAAGATTCAGAGAAAGAAGAGGTAAAACTAATTACAAAGAATGTCAGAGACAAAACATGAGTAGTCTTATTTTTTAATATAATCATTTACCTATGAAAGCACTCTTGTTATCTGATAAAAATTTGTTCTTCTATGTAAAATTAAATGGTCAATATTTTTTTTGTTCCTTGTGGTTTCAGACATTGTACAAAATAAATCAAAAATTTGTAAGGGGTTCCAGGGAACCCTGTGTCTCGCCTACGATTGCTGTTGTCAGTGTAAAAGTGTAATGTTGACTTAAAAAGTGAGTCCATTTATCAGTAAAATACAAACTTTAAAAAAAAAATCAAACTTTCTCTTTAGATGCTATTTCTTGGTCTTGAAGATTAGCTTCTGTCCAAGTTTCATAACAATCCATGAAGAAAAACAAACTTATCATGTCTAAAAAATTTAATCCCAGACTGTCTGTAAATGTTAACTGTAAAAAAAGTAAGTTCATCTATCAGAAAAATACTAAAAATGAAAATATATTTTCAAAATTTGATTCAGACATTATCTCTTAATCATTAAAAAGTTTTATAAATTCTATGACGGTTTGACAAAGTATTTGATGTGAAACAATCTTTAACCACAGACTGTATCTACTTGTTAAATGTAACAAAAACTAAGTCCTTTTATCAGTAAAATACAGAGAAAAGAAAATAGATATTTTCTAAATTTTGCTTTAGATACTGTATTTTGGTCATAAACAAGCTTCTGTCCAAATTTCATTAAATTCCATGAAGGTTTGACAAAGTAATTAATGACTGAATAAATTTAACCTCAGATTGAATATGAAAGTAAACTGTAAAAAAAACTAAGTCCATTTATCAAGAAAATATGGAAAAATAAAAATTAATATTTTCAAAATTTTGCCTTGGATACTGTATTTTGGTTATAAACAAGCTTCTGTCCAAATTTCATAAAATTCTATTAAGGTTTGACCATGTTGACAAAGTTATTAATGTCTAAAAAAAATTTAAACACAGACTGAACCTAAATGTTGACGCCGCTTACGCTGACAACATAATCTAGGATCGCTATGTCTTGCTTTCGCAACAGAAAGGTTGCAGACTCGACAAAAATATACATTTCATTGAGAATTAAACATTATGATTTTGTTGTCATATTTTCTTATTATAAAATATTACCTATGACTACGTATGAGCAAACTTGAAAGACTGTATTAGTTATTTTATGTTTATAATATAAGATCTACTTATCAACATAAACATGATTGAAAACTTATTTACTACAACTAACATGCAGCACCACTGTACAATTGTAATAATTGAGCACCTGCATAAAAGTTCATTTTAACTATACAGTTATACAATTATCATTTAAGTAATGTTATACAGACAATTTCTTTCCTTACAAAACTCTCTAATGAAATTCAACTTAACTACTGTTGCACATATGATCAATTCTAAAAGTACCACAAGTCCATAAGGTGAGTTGTTAAGAAACAGATTTTTTATTTTGGTTTTAATTTCATCGGTTAAGGGTATGATACACAAGTCTGCTGACAATTGAAAATGATGGTACTGTGACCTTGACTTTTGACCTACTAATTCAGAGTACTGACCAAAAAATCTACAGGGGTCCATGGCCAGCTCTTTCCAAGAAACATTCTCAAGCCAAGTTTGGTGAATGGTCGACATATGGTTCAAAAGTTATAACCTGGAAAAGTTTGCCCCAATTTCAGTCTATCAATTCATGTGACCTTTACTTTGACCTAGTGACCTCAAAATCAAATGAGATTACCTCATCTCATGGGCCATTACCACACCAAGTTCAATAAAATTTGGACAAAATGTTTTTACAGATAACATCCAGAAAACTGAAATTCAGTCCAAATTTCAGTTGATCAATAGCTGCTGAGAACTTGACCTACGATCCCATAATTAACAGGGCTCTTCCTTAGCCCATGGGACATTATCAAACCAATTTTTATTAAGATTAGATAGTGCTTATAGCTCAATAAATTTTGCTTAGAAACAGAAATGTTGACATCCAGACATGCAGACGGAACGAATCATATCATAAGCCTAGTTTGAGTTTGGTTGTCTAAGTCCCATACTGAAGTAAAGTATCATGTTGCTTCTACAGACTCTGCTACTATGACTGGAAAATATGAATTGAGGCTAAAATCTAGAAAAGATTATATCAAAATTGACTATTATGGTATTAATAATTATGGCACACAAATTGCTTTTTTCTAGCTAAATATATTACAATAAGTATAAAACACACATGTCCTCTACATGGTATAAGAATTTAAATAAGCATAATTATATATATATAAACTCTTAAAATAATCTAGAACTCATCGACTGGTCATGGTGGTCTTCTTCAGCGGAACTTTATTTTTGGTATAGTAACACTTCTATTATATATTACAATGAACAACATCATAAATACAAAAATAAATTCCGGAAAAAGAACGTCATATTTTTGTACTAATTCCATGCAGCTTGCATATTTGTAAGTTTCTCTGAATAGTATCTCTGTAAGTATCCTGTTAATCCATATGCATGATAGGTTGAAAGCTCCGGATTATTTTAAGGAGATTTTATTTACCTTCATTTGAGAGATTTTGATTATATACATGTATATATATACATGTGTGTGTGTGTGTGTGTGTGTTTTTGTATGCATGTTACAAAGCCAATTAGAATGGCAGACATTTAAGGCATCATACTTCAAAATCAATTAACTTTGATGTAAAAAATATATGGCATAATGTAGTACATAAATTAAATATAAAAAAAATCACCAATAGTTTGACTAAATTCCTACTGACTCTTTCTTTTCAGGTGAACAATTATTCAAGTAAGGAGTCACTACCATATGTTTGACTAGAGGCTCTCAAGAGCCTGTGTCGCTCACCTGTATTTACTGATGCTTTGGAAATCACGTAAAATAAGGTTAAAATCATAATTAATAGTATTAGATATTAGATATTATAATGATATCTAAGATAATAACAAAAAACTGCAAAATTTTTGTAAAATTACTAACTATGGGGCAGCAACCCAACAACAGGTTGTCGGATTTATCTGAAAATTTCAGGGCAGATAAATCTAAATCTGATGAACATTTTTGCCACCTGTCAGATTTGCTCTAAATGCTTTAGTTTCAAAGATATAAACCAAAAACTGCATTTTACCCCTATGTTCTATTTTTAACCAAGTCGGCCATGATGGTTGGAAGGCGGGGTCATCGGACAAATTTTTCAAACTAGATACCCTAATAATGATTATGGCCAAGTATGGTTAAATTTGTCTCAGTAGTTTCAGAGAAGAAGATTTTTGTAAAAGATTACAAAAATTTACAAAAAATTGTTAAAAATTGACTATTAAGGGCAATAACTCCTAAAGGGGTCGACTGACAATTTTGGTCATTACAACTTATTTGTAGATCTTACTTTGCTGAACATTATTGCTGTTTACAGTTTATCTCTATCTATAATAATATTCAAGATAATAACCAAAAACTGCAAAATTTCCTTAAAATTACCAATACAGGGGCAGCAACCCAACAACAGGTTGTCAGATTTGTCTGAAAATTTCAGGGCAGATAGATCTTGACCTGATAATCAGTTTTACCCTGTCAGATTTACTCTAAATGCTTTGTTTTCAGAGATATAAGCCAAAATCTACTATTTTTAGCCATGACGGCCATCTTGGTTGGTTGGCAGGGTCATCGGACACATTTTTTAAACTAGATACCCTAATGATGATTGTGGCCAAGTTTGGTTAAATTTGGCCCAGTGGTTTCAGAGGAGAAGATTTTTGTAAAAAGCTAACGACGACGACAACGACGGACGACGGATGACGGACGCCAAGTGATGAGAAAAGCTCACTTGGCCCTTCGGGCCAGGTGAGCTAAAAAGGAACAAAATATAAATATTAAAGGTTATATGACAGAAAATTAAAGTGCTGTTTAATAAACACGATAAATGAGAAAATATAAAATTTCAAAGATCTCCAATTTCAAATTTCAAATGAGTCCTTAATAAAATTTTACTCATATCAAAAGTCTTACAAATACAAAATATAATGATAATTAGATGTGAGCCACCCACAAAAATATCTGTGGCATTTTTTTGGACTTGATCTAAATATGTATAACATTAAACAGTTAAAAGTATTATGATATAAAAATATATTCCTTTTTCTTATCTTAACAACCAGCTTAAACTTTTCACAATATATTATATATATTTAAACTTAACAATATATTTTATTCAACATCAATTTCAAATCATTTTTAAACAAACAAACCAAACAGTAACTTCACATTTATAAAAAATATGATATTAAGAATATCCTATGGCAGACAGTGGTCCTTCAGATATTTTTACCACGGGTAATCTCTCAGGTCCATGAAAAAAGAAAAACTACAATTCACCAAAATGTCTGGGCTTTTTCAGAAAAAAAGTACACAGGAATCTCTAGCCTTTTTTTTAAAGCCCCTGTAATCATGTCATTTTTACCATTTTTACTTACCCTGGTAATGCTTTAAAAATTTGTTCTTTACAAAACCAATGCCAGAATTTTTTATGCAAGTGCCTTCAAAAACTCAAAAGATACTTTTACAATATCATCCCTCAGTCTCAGACCACTCTACTGTATTAAGACATAGGTTATATTCAAAACTCTTTTGATTGTTTTTAAAAAATGTACACAAAGCTATCTGAATTTATGTTGCCTACATTCAGTCATATTAATGATGAGTTTGTGAAAAAAAATTAGTATTGTGACATTGTTAATTTGTGCAAGTCTCACTTTACTGAGTATTTGAACATGAAACGTAAAACTATCAGTTTTGGAAAATTCATGTTTTGTGTTCAAATCCCTGTATTTATATACAAAAGTTTATGACAATCAAACTATAGAAAGACATATTTCATTTTAGGATTCCAACCAATATATATACATTTATATTAATATATTAACATTAAAAAGTTACTATGCAACACCAATAACTATAAATATTAAATAATAAGTACAAAAATCTAACAGATATTTCAGATAACAAATATATTATGTCAGTATCAAATGACTTTATATAATGACCGTTCAATCTTGTCAAGACTTTTGATTTTAACTTCGTCTATGAACTCTGGATAGTTATATCATTGGCAATTATGCCACATATTTCTACATATATTGGTACATTGAATATTGATAAGAATCAACAAGTGTCTTCAAATTTTGTCATGTTATAAATTTTGCATTACAGGACCTATCAAAACTAGAAATGTCTTTCAAGGAGGAGAAATGAAATTTTTCACATCAAAATCTTGTTCAATATTCTGTAAATTCAGAAATTTTTGTGTGCATTCATCATTGCTTATGTATGAAGAATGGACAAAAATGCCAGATTAATTATTGTGATTTCAATAAATGCTGCAAATAAAAATAAACAATGCTATCAAAATTTAAAATGAGAGGTTATTTTTACTATACCCATTTTGTTGCATTTATCACAACAATAAAAATAATAAAATAAAACGATGTGGTATGATTCCCAATGGGAAAACTCTCCACCAGAGACCAGATGAAACAGAAGTTAACAACTATAGGTCACTGTATGGCCTTCAACAATAAGGAAACCCATACCACATAGTAAGCTATAAAAGGCCATGAAAGATTGCAAAAAATTTCTGAATTTACAGTAGATTGATAAAGAACTTTTTACACAGAGATACTGAAAGTCTCTTCTTTTATTTGCATATAGATATAGGAAGATGTGGTATTAGTGCCAATGAGACAACTCGCCATTCAAGTTACAATTTATAAAAGTAAACCATTATAGGTCAAGGTACGGCCTTCAACACGGAGCATTGGCTCACACCGAACAGCAAGCTATAAAGGGCCCCAAAAAATTACTAGTGTAAAATATGGTGGAAATCACTTCTATATCATACCGTATAGCGGGTTATTTTCGCGGGGTGTTTATTTTCGCTTATTTTCGCGGGTAAGGGGAAATCGCGAAAATAAATTCCGCAAAAATTTATGTATACGTTCGGTACTTTCCAATAGCTAAAGCGTTTTGTAAACTATCTATTTTTTCCCAATCGACAGATAACGGTTTATGTTAATTTAAACAACATAAATGCCAAAGGCCATTGTTCAGTGGCTGGCAGGTGTTAATTAGTTTATTGGTTACATAATAAAATTAATAATAATGATTAGTGTCAAATTATATAAGAGATATATGGAAGTTAAAGAATCTTATTAGTACATCAAAGGTCCGGTCAATTTCGTAACTAATCAACCGACAAATATCTAAGTACCGGTATTCTATTGATTACCGTAACTTATCAAAATATAATCAATAAATAAGACGACATGCAGGTAAAACAATCATTTAATCATAGCAATAGACACTTCTTTGTCAATTTTTACAACTATTTAACTGCAACCATTTCAATATCCACCAAAATATTAATTGGGATTAAAGAATCAGCCAAAATAAAAACGGCCAAAATTTTTCGTATACTTTGTTGCCCCTTAATCGCGAAATTTTACACCCGCGAAAATAATCCGCTATACGGTACTATATTGACCTAATCTCAAACTAACCTAATTACAAACTAAACATCTATAACACTAAAGGGTCAGGCCTCATCAAGATTTTGATATATTGAGATATTATCACAAGTATCAAAGTAATAATTCATGTCTCTGGTTCATGAACAATAGGATGTTTTGCCTGCAATTAAGATGCAAATATGCTTAATGCAACAGCATACCAAACACAAGTCATCTGTCATAAATACTGAACTAACATAATCAATAAAAAAATAACATTTAAGTACATGTATTAAACTAACAGGCCTTTAAGTCTTCCTTAATCAGCTTTTTCCAGAGAATAAAGAATATCAATGGTCCAATTAATACATCTGATGAAAAGAAAAACTTCACAGAATGCTGATGATAATACTGCATGGATAGGAGTGAGGGACACATTAGTGGTGAGGTCAAGATACCTGTCTGGACTATAACCATGACTGTAGCTTATATGATCAGGTTATTTTGGGTCATGATGCTTTGACTTGTTTAGAATTTGGACTTTTATAGTCTTAAATAGTAGTTTTTGTTTTGTGGGGGAGGGGAGATTCCTTTGTCAGTGGTCAAAGTAAACTTGAGCAATTTTCTGACATTTAAATAATGTAAATTTTGAGCAATTTTCTGACATTTGAATAATGTAAATTTTATTAAAAAAAATATTTTTTCTTTCTGACAATGTCTGATAACTTCAAAAGCAAATGCTTGAAAATCTGATTATAGAGAGATTTAGGATAGGATTCCATTTTTTTGTTATTATACTTTGGGTCGTTTGGCTATGACATTTTTCTTTACCTTCTTCGCTCTATTTAATTAATTTTTAATTAGTTCTAAAATGAATAAATTTGGACCAGTCACAACCAAGATAAAAACAATTTACATCACATGGCCAAAAGCTTCTTCACATATAAGAAATTTACTACTGATGAAGTATGACACAAGATAAAACATGTAAAAACATAAAGATCATTGAATCATGATTATGTTTAATCTCTTAGTGTTCAGATCTTAGTTACCTATTCCATAATTCCATATGACAACTTTAAAAATTACCTGATAACCCGTATAAAAAAAAACAAAAGAAATTACTGACAATTATCTACTCCATTTCACAACTTTATATATTTATACTCTCATGATTAGAAAACTAAAATGATGACAAATTAAGTTACCTATTCAATGTGACAACTTTAAAACTAGAGGCCACAAGGATTATGTATCAATCAATTGGTATCTATATATAACATAAGAATAATGCTAATGAAAGACTTAATAAATGTGGATAGTGTCCACATGTGGACACAGATGATGCCCCCGCTTGCATATCATATAGTTATAAAGGGACATAACTGAGGAACGGTAAAAGTAACGCTACTCAAATTTGAACTTGATCTGAGTTTTGTGGTAATAAGCATTGTATGTAAGTCTCATAACATTTGGTTGAGGCTAACTTAAGTCGAGAACAGAAACTAAAAATTCAGCAATTTTTCTATTTGTAAACACGCATAACTCTAGAACGGTTGTGTACAAGTTTTATAACATTTGGTTGAGACAAACTAAAGTTAGAGAACGGAAACTAAAAATTCAGCAATTTTTATGTTTATAAAGGGACATAACTCAAGAATGGTAAAAGTGTCGTCACCAGTTTTTCATACTTTATCTGTATTATGTAGTAATAAGCATTGTGAATAAGTTTCATAACATTTGGATGAGGCAAACTAAAGTTAGAAAACGGAAACAAAAAATTTGTACTTGATCTTAGTTTTGTGGTTATGAATATTGTGTATAGGTTTCATAATGTTTGGTTGGGGCAAACTTAAGTTACAGAATGGAAACTAAAAAATTTGCAATCTTTCGATTTATAAAGGGGCATAACTCAATAATTGTTAAAGTGACATTACCCAAATTCAACTTGATCTGTGTTTTATCAGTGGAAGTCAAAATTAAACATTGCATTGTATAAAGCATTGATTGTAGTTGATTCAACTATAATCATGGACAAAGGAAGATAACTCCAATTTTAAAAATTACTTGATATTTAGAAGAAAATAAAAATTTTGCAATTTTTCCATTTATAAAGGAGCATAACTCTAAAACTGTTAAAGTGACGCCACCAAAATTCAAACTTGATCTGTGTTTTGTGGTAATAAGCATTGTGTATAAGTTTCATAACATTTGGTTGAGGCAAACTAAAGTTAGAGAACGGAAACCAGTTTTGGGACGTATGGACGTATGTACAGACGGATAAGGGTAAAACTTAATTCCCCCCCACCGCTACGGCGGGGGCATATAAAAACCAACAGGAATGGAAAAATAATAATGAAAAATAAGAAAAGCAGAAACAGCATCTACAACAGAATAAGGAATGTTTAGTATGGAGTAATATTCGAGGAAAAAAACAATGATGATTATGATATTTCTATTTCAGAATATTTCTTATGGCTGTACTATTCTTTGGTGTTTTCAAAAAACTCTTTTAACTTAAGTTCATATGAACACATAGCTGAGCAGCCTCTTTCATTTAATACCGATATGTGGTATTATTAATACTGAGAGATGCATAAACCTTACAGCCATTGATTTCTAAAATTTAAAATATAATCCATCAAGGAATAATGTTCTTCACATGCATTTAAATCATTTAAGCTTCAGAATCTGTTTCTTCAAGTTAATCTAATTGTCTTCAAAGGTGCTTAGTGACAGATTTGGTTGATTATTTAATTCTGCCATACCAGCTGATGGAAGCTGAGTGCCCAAACCCTGTAAATAAAAAGAATTAAAGAACCTTAGTGAGCTAGCTCACATACCCCACGTCCCCACATTGTCATTGGAGAAATAAAATAAGTGCAAGAAAAAAAAATTGTATAAGAAAAAAAAATTGAATCATAATTTCCTGTCAATATGCAAATCTACATAGTATGTCCTTATTATCTACAAAGTTTCATGAAATTCTGTTGTGTGGTTTCAGAGGAGTTGTGATGACAAACTGTTGCAAAAGTAAATTGAAGCAAATAAGTTCAAAGGGGCGTAACACTAAGAAAAACTAGAGGCTCTCAAGAGCCTGTGTCGCTCACCTGTATTTACTGATGCTTTGGAAATCATGTAAAATCAGGTTAAAATCATAATTAATCGTATTAGATATTAGATATTATAATGATATCTAAGATAATAACAAAAAACTGCAAAATTTTTGTAAAATTACTAACTCAGGGGCAGCAACCCAACAACGGGTTGTCGAATTTGTCTGAAAATTTCAGGGCAGATAAATCTAAATCCGATGAACATTTTTGCCACCTGTCAGATTTGCTCTAAATGCTTTAGTTTCAGAGATATAAACCAAATACTGCATTTTACCCCATTGTTCTATTTTTAACCAAGTCGGCCATGATGGTTGGAAGGCGGTGTCATCGGACAAATTTTTTAAACTAGATACCCTAATAATGATTACGGCCAAGTATGGTAAAATTTGTCTCAGTAGTTTCAGAGAAGAAGATTTTTGTAAAAGATTACAAAAATTTACAAAAAATTGTTAAAAATTGACTATAAAGGGCAATAACTCCTAAAGGGGTCGACTGACAATTTTGGTCATGAAACTTATTTGTAGATCTTACTTTGCTGAACATTATTGCTGTTTACAGTTTATCTCTATCTATAATAATATTCAAGATAATAACCAAAAACTGCAAAATTTCCTTAAAAATACCAATTCAGGGGCAGCAACCCAACAACCGGTTGTCAGATTCGTCTGAAAATTTCAGGGCAGATAGATCTTGACCTGATAATTAGTTTTACCCGATGTCAGATTTACTCTAAATGCTTTGGTTTCAGAGATATAAGATAAGCCAAAATCTACATTTTACCCCTATGTTCTATTTTTAGCCATGGCGGCCATCTTGGTTGGTTGGCAGGGTCATCGGACACATTTTTTAAACTAGATACCCTAATGATGATTGTGGCCAAGTTTGGTTAAATTTGGCCCAGTGGTTTCAGAGGAGAAGATTTTTGTAAAAAGCTAACGACGACGGACGACGGAAGCCAAGTGATGAGAAAAGCTCACTTGGCCCTTCGGGCCAGGTGAGCTAAAAAATGAATCGTAATTTCCTGTCGATATGCACAACTACATAGTATGTCCTTATTATCTAAAAAGGTTTCATGAAATTCTGTTGTGTGGTTTCAGAGGAGTTGCAATGACAAACTGTTGCAGTAGTACATTAAAGCAAATAAGTTCAAAGGGGCGTAACTCCTGGAAAAAAATTGAATCTTAATTTCCTGTCAATATGCATATCTACGTAGTATGTCCTTATTATCTGAAAAGGTTTCATGAAATTCTGTTGTGTGGTTTGAGAGGAGTTGCGATGACAAAAGGTTGCAGTAGTATATTTGGCAAATAAGTTCAAAGGGGCGTAACTCCTGGGAAAAAAAAATTGAATCGTAATTTCCTGTCAATATGCACATCTACGTTGTATGTCCTTATTATCTGAAACGGTTTCATGAAATTCTGTTGTGTGGTTTGAGAGGAGTTGCAATGACAAACTGTTGCAGTAGTACATTAAAGTAAATAAGTTCAAAGGGGCGTAACTCCTAGAAAAAAAATTGAATCGTAATTTCCTGTCAATATGCACAACTACATTTGGTTTGAGAGAAGTTGCGATGACAAGAAATAGGACTGACAGACTGACGGACTGACTGACGGACGGACAGACGGACGGACGGACGGACGGACAGACAGACAGACGGACGGGTCAAAAACATTATACCCTCCGCAACTCGTTGCGGGGGGTATAATAAGAACAACTGAAGTTTGTTTTTGAATTGATGAATTGCTGTCTTATATATTTCCAATATCTTCTTTTGATCATATACAAGATAAGACAATCTTGCACAAGTTAGCACAACTACACATTGTATTGTGAAATCACTTTGTATCATCACCACTGGAAATTTGGGTACCAATGAAGCAGAGAAAGGAAATAAATGTGGATTGTTTCCACATGTGGACACAGATGATGCCCCTGCTTGCATATCATATAGTTATAAAGGTACATAACTGAAGAACGGTAAAAGTGAAGCAACCCAAATTTGAACTTGATCTGAGTTTTGTGGTAATAAGCATTGTGTGTAAGTCTCATAACATTTGGTTGAGGCTAACTTAAGTCGAGAACAGAAACTAAAAATTCTGCAATTTTTCTATTTGTAAACACGCATAACTCTAGAACGTTTGTGTATAAGTTTTATAACATTTGGTTGAGACAAACTAAAGATAGAGAACAGAAACGAAAATTCCGCAATTTTTATGTTTATAAAGGGACATAACTCAAGAATGGTAAAAGTGACGCCACCAAATTTCGTACTTAATCTGTATTATGTAGTAATAAGCATTGTGTATAAGTTTCATAACATTTGGTTGAGGCAAACTTAAGTTAGAGAACGGAAACAAAACTAGAGGCTCTAAAGAGCCTGTGTCGCTCACCTTGGTCTATGTGCATATTAAACAAAGGACACAGATGGATTCATGACAAAATTGTGTTTTGGTGATGGTGATGTGTTTGTAGATCTTACTTTACTGAACATTCTTGCTGCTTACAATTATCTCTATCTATAATGAACTTGGTCCAATAGTTACAGTGGAAAATATTTTGTAAAAATTTACAAAATTTATGAAAATTGTAAAAAATAGACTATAAAGGGCAATAACTCCTTAACGGGTCAATTGACAATTTTGGTCATGTTGACTTATTTGAAGATCTTACTTTGCTGTACATTATTGCTGTTTACAGTTTATCTCTATCTATAATAATATTCAAGATAATAACGAAAAGCTGCAAAATTTTCTAAAAACTACCAATTCAGTCGCAGCAACCCAACAACGTGTTGCCTGATTGGTCTAAAAATTTCAGGGCAGATAGATCTTGACCTAATGAACAATTTTATCCTCATCAGATTTGCTCTAAATGCTTTGGTTTCAGAGATATGAGCCAAAAACATTTTACCCTATGTACTATTTTTAAGCCGTGTCAGCCATCCTGGTTCGCGGGTGGGGTCATCAGACACATTTTTTAAACTAGATACCCTAACGATAATTGTGGACAAGTAGTTTCAGAGGAGAAGATTTTTGTAAAAGATTACAAAAATTTACGAAAAATGGTTAAAAATTTACTATAAAGGGCAATAACTCCTTAAGGGGTCAACTGACCATTTTGGTCAAGTTGACTTATTTGTAGATCTTACTTTGCTGAACATTATTGCTGTTTACAGTTTATCTTTTTCTATAATAATATTCAAGGTAATAACCAAAAACGGCAAAATTTCCTTAAAATTACAATTCAGGGGCAGCAACCCAACAACAGGTTGTCCGATTCATCTGAAAATTTCACGGCAGATAGATCTTGACCTGTTCAACAATTTATCCCATGTCAGATTTGCTCTAAATGCTTTGGTTTCAGAGATATAAGCCAAAATCTACATTTTACCCCTATGTTCTATTTTTAGCCATGGCGGCCATCTTGGTTGGTTGGCCGGGTCACCGGACACATTTTTGAAACTAGATACCCCAATAATGATTGTGGCCAAGTTTGGTTGAATTTGGCCTAGTAGTTTCAGAGGAGAAGATTTTTGTAAAAGTTAACGGACGACGGATGATGGATGCCAAGTGATGAGAAAAGCTCACTTGGCCCAGGTGAGCTAAAAATTGTACCGGTACTTGATCTTAGTTTTGTGGTAATGAATATTGTGTATAGGTTTCATAATGTTTGGTTGGGGCAAACTTAAGTTACAGAATGGAAACTAAAAATTTTGCAATCTTTCGATTTATAAAGGGGCATAACTCAATAATGGTTACAGTGAAGGCAAAATTAAACATTGCATTGTATAAAGCATTGATGGTGTTGATTCAACTATAATCATGGACAAAGGAAGATAATTCCAATTTTAAAAATTACTTGAATAATGACATTGATATTTTTAGAAATTACATTTAGTTAAGACAAACTCAAGTTAGAGAATGGAAACGAAAAATTCAGCAATTTTTTCATTTGTAAAGGGGCATAACCCTAGAACGGTAATCAAACAGCTTGTAAGCACTGAATGGTAAAGATTGCTTTAATTTATTAGTAGGAAGTAAAATTGAATATTGCATTGTATAAAGCATTGGTTGTAGTTGATTCAACTACCATTATGCACAAAGCAAGATAACTCCAATTTTAAAAGAAGACTTTAAAATATTTTTAGGAATGAAGGGTAAAAATTGCTTTAATTTATCAGTGGAAGGCAAAATTAAACATTGCATTGTATAAAGCATTGATTGTAGTTGATTCAACTATAATCATGGACAAAGGAAGATAACTCCAATTTTTAAAATTACTTGATATTAAGAAAAAAAAATGTAAAGGGCATAACTCTAGAACAGTAAAAGTGACGGCACCAAAATTCAAACTTGATCTGTATATTGTGGTAATAAGCATTTTGTATAAGTTTCATAACATTTGGTTGAGGCAAACTTAAGTAAGAGAACGGAAACGAAAAATTTAGCAATTTTTCCATTTGTAAAGGGGCATAACTCTAGAACGGTAAAAGTGACGCCACCAAAATTCAAACTTGATCTGTATTTAGTGGTAATAAGCATTGTGTATAAGTTTCATAACATTTGGTTGAGGCAAACTAAAGTTAGAGAACAGAAACCAACTTTGGGACGTACGTACAGAAGGATATACGAACCTATGTACAGACGGACAAGGGTAAAACTTAATGCCCCCTCAGCTAAGGCGGGGGCATAAAAATAAATAAACAAGATAAAAATTCCATTAATTGAAACCATTTTTACTGTTTTGATCAGGTTACCGCTTTTGATATGATTTTCTGATTTGTAGTGATTTAACTTTTAATGCCAACAAGTTGCAAACAAAGACATGATTTTGTGTTCTACTCCAAAGTTGTGCACCACATTGGCAAGATATTCAACTACTTTTCATTCTTTTTCCAGGCAATTTTTTATATTATGATAGTATGACTTCATATTTACTGAAATACGCTATCAAAAAGATGTTTTCTAAAGAATATGGAACAAAACAGTTATTGTCTTTGTAAGGCGAATTGCATGGCGTTGTAAGGCTAATTGCAAAATAACAACTTGTTTTCTGAATGTGAACGTCATGTCACTTGAAATCAACCACTTACAACACTGTATTGAAGAGATATATAGATTTTAATTTTGAAAATTATAAAACTTTTAGCATTCTTTTGAAAGAAAGCAAGTTTAGATTTTGCTTTGTCTTAAAAAAAAAAAGGAAATTTTTCAAAATCGAGGAAGTCATAAAGGGATGATGTCAAGTCCCCACACGTATATCTTCCCCTGACATGTTTAATTTACAGAATATTCGGCATTTCACTATCTTAATCAGATCAACCAAAACTGAGTTTTTACAAATGAAGTAAAAATATTTCTCGGGAGATATCAGCAGTCTGATGTTTTTTCTCAACGCTTCCGTTACTGAATAAAACAGCAGGTGACAGTAACTGGTCCTTAAGGAAATTAGGAAATAGAAACAATCTTTTATATTTCCGAAGGAGTTACAGGTACAGTGCAAAGGCAGCTTTTACAACCTAGACAAAATAATCATAAGATCTTATTCATTAAGTGAAGGAATACAAAAAAGTCTTTGGAGTTGTTGGTGTTACATCTTACACAAGTCTACCCGAAATATTTGCCCTATTCATACGTTATTTCCTGCCAAGTTATCTAACATATATCTTGATGTGCCAGATTTATTTTATTGCCACTACTCCATGGCTTTGTTCTTCAATTCAGTTATGGCTCATCAGTTTGCAAAGAAGTCCGCTAAAACCAGTGCTCAGTGCGGAATTAAACTTGAAGTGAAGTGAGTGTTTTTTGCTCCTTTTGAAGGCCTCACTGTGAATTTGAGATGAAGACCAGCAATAAAAACACTGTTCCTTTGTTTTGTGTGTTTTTTTGCTGTGCACATACTGATTTTGTGTCATGGATGGATACCTCATATACTTTCTTTTCTATTACTTACACTGTCTGGGTGAACTGTTGAGTTTATCTGGATAAGTGGATGTTGATTGTTCATTATTGGATGGGTTCTCTGTAAACCAATAGACAAAGTGGGCTACAAATATAAAAACATATCAAACAAGGTTAAAACCAAATAAAAGTTGTATTACTGGTACTGTGGATTCATTAATATTCGTTGGATACCAATTTTCATCGATTTCGTGGGTACAGGGGAACCACGAATTTAAATGCTCAACGAATCAAAAATTTTCTAAAGGAATGTATGCAGACTATTCCGAAACCACGAAATTAAATATCCACGTATATGCAAGTTTTCCTCAAACCACGAAAATTGGTACCCACGAAAATAAATGAATCCACAGTATTGGTAATTTGCAAACAATTATTCTATATAACTATATCTTAAATCCTCAAACAGACATTTTGCTGTTCCTGATAGGTTGTTAACAATTCAAAAGAATTTTAATCAAATGCAATGCATTTAATTCACATGCAAAGTGATCAAGTTACAAATGACCTGCATAATACCATTAAATAAATGGAGAATGTGTCCCATGGACACAGATGATGCCCCCGCCTGCATATAACATTATAAAGGGACATAACTAGAAAACTGTAAATGTGACGCCAAATTTGAACTTGACCTGTGTTTTATGGTAATAAGCATTGTGTGTAAGTTTCATAATATTTGGTTGAGGCAAACTAAAGTTAGAGAACGGAAACCAATTTTGGGATGTACATACGTACGGACGGACATACGGATGGACAACAGTAACACTTAATGCCCCCTTTGCATAGCATCTTGCTGCTGATATGTAATTTGACTTCTGTGAACCACTCACTGTTCTCCACTTATAAGTCATTAAATGTTGGCTGATTTTGGAAGGACCAGTTCAACAAGGTTTCAGTTTCAAATGACTGCCTCTGAAATCTGAGTTTAACAAAGGTGAATAGATCCCAAAAGTTTTGAAGAATTTTGCATGGATAGCTAGGAGACATTAATTAATGATTTAACTCCTTCAATTCACGTTAATCATGATAACTTTGGATAAACATGACCATTTTAGTCTAAATTTCATTTGCTTGTGCAACTTATAAAGATCACAATTTGGTATTATGAACATATATATATATAGGCCTGGATCATGTAGTCTTATTTGTCTTTTTCTCCGTTTTTCAAGAAAGCATTGGGAACTTGTTAATCTTGTTATAACAAAGTTAATATTTGAGATAAACTATGGCTAAATTGGATGATGATATCATATGTCACAATAAACAACTTAAGTAGAACAAGGCTTACCGGGTTTGAGCTTTGAGGTGCTGATTCAAGCAAACTTTCTAAATCTAAAAAAAATACCAAATATTATCACAAATAAAATTAACTACATTGTAGAACTATATTTATAATCATTTCATCATATGACTTAAGCTTGTTATGAAAAGAAGAGGTATGATTGACATTCATGCTGTTATGGTTGTGGCATGTTATCTATTTCTTGCTGAGAGTTTGATACGAAAAAGTTATACAAAAGCTGCATCCATTTGATTGGCTTATCCAGCATCATTAGACGATATCACGACATACAATTCGTCCATAGATCTTTGATGTGGAGAATATCTGTATAAATTCCAATCCAATTTAGTTGCTATGACCATGACATTGGACATAATGACCTCAAAATCATTAGGTATCTTCCTTCCATTACATGCAACCATAATCATAGTATGTCTCCAATCCCATATGAAGTATCTGATTTAGCATTACATGTATGATCAAAAAACCATTTTTCTGCACAAATGTAACACTATTTTTAATAAGCAACTATGACCTTAATCTTGGACATATAGTAATTTATACCTCAAATCAATAGTGATCTTCCGCTCAAGATAATTGTGGCCATATTACCTAGTATGGTTTCAATCCTCTATAAAATACTGGAGTAAGCATCTGGAAACAAAAATGATTGACAGATGGGTCAAAAACAATATACAAACCTGCTACTTTGTAGTGTGGGGTATAATAACAAGTTGATGAGCTCTTGCTCACTGATGATAATGATATGTGGATTTTAGAGTCCGACTATTCTTTAGGATATTGCAGACTATCTTCCCTATTGTTACAGAGTTGGTTCTGCTTGTCTTTCAGCTTTCATTTTGCTCTGACTTCTGTGTTGGTGCTGGTATGGAGTGTCTGGCCGTTCGGCTAGTATGGCAGCTTCTATAGCCTCTTTTGATGTTATTTTGAAGGGTGATGTATGCGGTGGTGTGCGTAGTAGTTCAGGGTCGCCAATGTCAAACCCCTTATCGAAATGGATCCTACTATGTTTACCTTTTTCTGTGGTTGAGGACTTGAGGTGTAGTAATAAAGGCGATGGCATGCCTTTTTGGGGTTATACGGACTGGTGACTATATATATCAGTATTGATGATAACTCCCACTGGTTCACCTCTGTATTTAGTTGGTGTGAGTTGTTTGCCAACAACAGTATCCCTGGCTTCCGCCTGACTGGTGTAATCTACGGTGGCCTTGATGCTTTGATGTTGTGGAGTAGCGGGAACAACGGCCGTTTTGGTGTCCATCTACTGGGTGAAACGCTTAGCGTTGCGTTTCCTGGTAGATGGTGGCTTGTTCTTGCTTTTAAGGGTCGGCTTAGGTTTCCTGGAAGATGTGTCCAGTTCCTTGGCCTTGATCCATGTGAGCTGTACTGAGACTTGGTCAGAACTGGCGGTGAATTTCCATTCCAGCTCTTTTCCATCCAATTTCATGGTAACAAGTAAAGTTTTCAATTCATTTGGTAGGTCCATAATGAAAGTCCACAAAGTGATCAGTTCTAAGTTCAACTCACGAATGATACCCCCACTATAAGTATGGGTTTAACAGTTAATGAGCTCTTGCTCACTAATGATACCCCCACTATAAGTATGGGTTTAACAGTTAATGAGCTCTTGCTCACTAATGATACCCCCACTATAAGTATGGGGTTAACAGTTATTGAGCTCTAACTTGCTCACTTGTGATACCCCCACTATAAGTATGGGGTTAACAGTTAATGAGCAATGGATGTGAAATTTGCATCATACTGTAAAGCATGCTCAAATGCAGTCTGATACCAAATTCCAGGGTGCTCTGATCCATAGTTCCTGAGAAAAATGTAACAGAAATTTATATATGGTCATTATGTGTTCGAATATATATATATATTCATAAATATTTGGTTAACAGTAAGTTGATGAGTGATGAATGTGAAAATGCATCAAAGGGTACAGCATGCTCACATGAAGCTTGATACTAAATTGCAGAAAGTTCTGATTCCTGTTATAAAGGTTTTGAAGATAATAGAAATACATGCATTTACCCCCATCTTCTATATTTAGATTTGTTGGTGCTATTTGTTGTATGGTTGGATCATTGAATACATACCCCAAGGATGAATGTGGCAAATTTCTAATTGGTCTATTAGTTTCAGCAGAGAAAATTTTCAAAAGTTCTCAAATGATGAAAACAAACCTAAGTCATGAAAATTATAGAAGCCTCAAAACATAGAATCTATCTCAAAGAGTTGCCAATTGATCATTAGGTCAATCAATGGCTCTTGACCAACCAATGAGTCACTGTTTCACAATATCAGTGTACCCCTTCTGGTAATAAATTGTCAAATTAGTGTTAAATTAATGATGACACAGCAGAATAAGTATACACTGTTAATACACACCATACCTTTTTTGTTAATATATTTAAATTATTTACTACTGTTGCTAAACACAAACCTTTACACATAGGGTTTCCTTCTGCCTTTTTGACCTGAGATTTGTCTTCTTTGCACATTGGAAATGTCTCATGATTAACTTCATCCAGTTTTGTCTCTTTCTTGGTGATTGTTTCTGCCTCTTGACCATCTGGTTCATACCTTTCCCCAAGATGTCTGGAATTGAAGACAGGAGCCTGATTATGCAAGTCTTCCTCAACTGTATCAATAGTCCTATCAGAATCAGAACAGTCTGAATAAGTCCTGCTATCATGATGTCTTACATTATCTGTAGCAGAAAACTCACAAATTTGAGATAGTGGATCATTAATTTCAGCACAATACTGACAACTTCTGTCTTGTTTAGCTGCATTAAATCTTGATTCTTTGTCTCTAAAATTATCAGGACTTGTAACTTTATTTTCACACTTCATTCCAAAATCATGTTTCATTGAGGGTTTGTTCATGTCATCACTTATATTTCTTTCACTATTTCCTAAATATCCAGAGTTCTCCTGATTAAAGGTACAGCTTTTGTCTTTCTGATCTTCTGGATCTACATCATGTAAATAATTATATATCCTCTCTGTAATTAAAGAAAACACTTGAAAACTGACATGTCAGCAAGGGCCAAGCTTGTACATTTGTGTGTGAGGCACAGAAACAAATTATTAATACTGATGAAAGCAACAAAATACATGATCATGGGGCATCATTTTTTTGTAGAATGAAGAATAAATTCAAAATATGTGCTACCTTGATATGTTTAATGGCATTCATTTAGAAAATTGCTATTCATAGATAATTTTTGACACCAGGAATCAATTTGGAACACCAGTAGTATATTATACCGATATATCAATTTTTGTAGAATTTCAAGTCCAAAAAGATGTTTTAATTTTTATTTCCAAATAACTCCATAAAAATTAGTTTTTCAGCAAGAGTAAGAAGAACTGAGCAAAACTAATAAATTTCCAAACATCATTTGGGTTACTTCATTGTTGGCAGAATCACGAAATTTACATTATTTCCAAGAATCTGAGTCCAAAAATTGGTACAGCTTTTTTAGCTCACCTGGCCCGAAGGGCCAAGTGAGCTTTTCTCATCACTTGGCGTCCGTCGTCCGGCGTCGTCCGGCGTCGTCGGCGTTAACTTTTTACATTTTGAACTTCTTCTAGAGAACCACTGAATGGAATGAAACCAAACATGGCATGAATGTTTCTTATGAGGTGCTGACCGAGTGTTGTTACTTTGAAGCCGATCCATAATCCAAGATTGCCGCCAGCGGGGGACTTAGTTTAACATGGGACCCTATGGGAAATACATACAAATGTCTTCTTTTAGAGAACCACTGAATGGAATAAAAGCAAACATGGCATGAATGTTCCTTATGAGGTGCTGACCAAGTGTTGTTACCATGAAGCTGATCCATAATCCAAAATGGCCGCCAGCAGGGGACTTAGTTTAACATTGGACCCTATGGGAAATACATACAAATGTCTTCTTTTAGAGAACCACTGAATGGAATGAAACCAAACATGGCATGAATGTTTCTTATGAGGTGCTGACCGAGTGTTGTTACTTTAAAGCCGATCCATAATCCAAGATGGCCGCCTGCAGGGGACTTAGTTTAACATGGGACCCTATGAGAAATACATACAAATGTCTACTTTTAGAGAACCACTGAATGGAATGAAACCAAACATGGCATGAATGTTCCTTATGAGGTGCTGACCGAGTGTTGTTACTTTGAAGACGATCCATAATCCAAGATGGCTGCCAGTGGGGGACTTAGTTTAACATGGGACCCTATGGGAAATACATACAAACGCTTCTTTTAGAGAACCACTGAATGGAATGGAACCAAACATGGCATGAATGTTTCTTATGAGGTGCTGACCGAGTGTTGTTACTTTGTAGCGGATCCATCATCCAAGATGGCCGCCAGCGGGGGACTTAGTTTAACATAGGACCCTATGGGAAATGCATACAAATGTCTTCTTTTAGAGAACCACTGAAAGGAATGAAACCAAACATGGCATGAATGTTTCTTATGAGGTGCTGACCGAGTGTTGTTACTTTGAAGCCGATCCATAATCCAAGATGGCTGCCAGCGGGGGACTTAGTTTAACATAGGACCCTATGGGAAATACATACAAATATCTTCTTTTAGAGAACCACTGAATGGAATGAAACTAAACATGGTATGAATGTTCCTTATGAGGTGCCGACCGAGTGTTGTTACTTTGAAGCTGATCCGTAATCCAAGATTGCCGCCAGCGGGGGACTTAGTTTAACATGGGACCCTATGGGAAATACATACAAATGTCTTCTTTTAGAGAACCACTGAATGGAATAAAAGCAAACATGGCATGAATGTTCCTTATGAGGTGCTGACCAAGTGTTGTTACTATGAAGCCGATCCATAATCCAAGATGGCTGCCAGCAGGGGACTTAGTTTAACATAGGACCCTATGGGAAATACATACAAATATCTTCTTTTAGAGAACCACTGAATGGAATGAAACCAAACATGGCAAGAATGTTCCTTATGAGGTGCTGACCAAGTGTTGTTACTTTGAAGCTGATCCATCATCCAAGATGGCAGCCAGCGGGGGACTTAGTTTAACATAGGACCCTATGGGAAATACATACAAATGTCTTCTTTTAGAAAACCACTGAATGCAATGAAACCAAACATGGCATGAATGTTCCTTATGAGGTGCTGACCGAGTGTTGTTACTTTAAAGCCGATCCATAATCCAAGATGGCCGCCTGCAGGGGACTTAGTTTAACATGGGACCCTATGAGAAATACATACAAATGTCTTCTTTTAGAGAACCACTGAATGGAATGAAACCAAACATGGCATGAATGTTCCTTATGAGGTGCTGACCGAGTGTTGTTACTTTGAAGCCGATCCATAATCCAAGATGGCTGCCAGCGGGGGACTTAGTTTAACATGGGACCCTATGGGAAATACATACAAACGTCTTCTTTTAGAGAACCACTGAATGGAATGAACCCAAACATGGCATGAATGTTTCTTATGAGGTGCTGACCGAGTGTTGTTACTTTGAAGCCGATCCATAATCCAAGATTGCCGCCAGCGGGGGACTTAGTTTAACATGGGACCCTATGGGAAATACATACAAATGTCTTCTTTTAGAGAACCACTGAATGGAATAAAAGCAAACATGGCATGAATGTTCCTTATGAGGTGCTGACCAAGTGTTGTTACTATGAAGCTGATCCATAATCCAAAATGGCCGCCAGCAGGGGACTTAGTTTAACATTGGACCCTATGGGAAATACATACAAATGTCTTCTTTTAGAGAACCACTGAATGGAATGAAACCAAACATGGCATGAATGTTTCTTATGAGGTGCTGACCGAGTGTTGTTACTTTAAAGCCGATCCATAATCCAAGATGGCCGCCTGCAGGGGACTTAGTTTAACATGGGACCCTATGAGAAATACATACAAATGTCTTCTTTTAGAGAACCACTGAATGGAATGAAACCAAACATGGCATGAATGTTCCTTATGAGGTGCTGACCGAGTGTTGTGACTTTGAAGACGATCCATAATCCAAGATGGCTGCCAGTGGGGGACTTAGTTTAACATGGGACCCTATGTGAAATACATACAAACGTCTTCTTTTAGAGAACCACTGAATGGAATGAAACCAAACATGGCATGAATGTTTCTTATGAGGTGCTGACCGAGTGTTGTTACTTTGTAGCGGATCCATCATCCAAGATGGCCGCCAGCGGGGGACTTAGTTTAACATAGGACCCTATGGGAAATGCATACAAATGTCTTCTTTTAGAGAACCACTGAAAGGAATGAAACCAAACATGGCATGAATGTTTCTTATGAGGTGCTGACCGAGTGTTGTTACTTTGAAGCCGATCCATAATCCAAGATGGCTGCCAGCGGGGGACTTAGTTTAACATAGGACCCTACGGGAAATACATACAAATATCTTCTTTTAGAGAACCACTGAATGGAATGAAACTAAACATGGTATGAATGTTCCTTATGAGGTGCCGACTGAGTGTTGTTACTTTGAAGCCGATCCGTAATCCAAGATTGCCGCCAGCGGGGGACTTAGTTTAACATGGGACCCTATGGGAAATACATACAAATGTCTTCTTTTAGAGAACCACTGAATGGAATAAAAGCAAACATGGCATGAATGTTCCTTATGAGGTGCTGACCAAGTGTTGTTACTATGAAGCCGATCCATAATCCAAGATGGCTGCCAGCAGGGGACTTAGTTTAACATAGGACCCTATGGGAAATACATACAAATATCTTCTTTTAGAGAACCACTGAATGGAATGAAACCAAACATGGCAAGAATGTTCCTTATGAGGTGCTGACCAAGTGTTGTTACTTTGAAGCTGATCCATCATCCAAGATGGCAGCCAGCGGGGGACTTAGTTTAACATAGGACCCTATGGGAAATGCATACAAATGTCTTCTTTTAGAAAACCACTGAATGCAATGAAACCAAACATGGCATGAATGTTCCTTATGAGGTGCTGACCGAGTGTTGTTACTTTGAAGCCGATCCATAATCCAAGATGGCCGCCTGCAGGGGACTTAGTTTAACATGGGACCCTATGAGAAATACATACAAATGTCTTCTTTTAGAGAACCACTGAATGGAATGAAACCAAACATGGCATGAATGTTCCTTATGAGGTGCTGACCGAGTGTTGTTACTTTGAAGCCGATCCATAATCCAAGATGGCTGCCAGCAGGGGACTTAGTTTAACATGGGACCCTATAGGAAATACATACAAACGTCTTCTTTTAGAGAACCACTGAATGGAATGAACCCAAACATGGCATGAATGTTTCTTATGAGGTGCTGACCGAGTGATGTTACTTTGTAGCGGATCCATCATCCAAGATGGCCGCCAGCGGGGGACTTAGTTTAACATAGGACCCTATGGGAAATGCATACAAATGTCTTCTTTTAGAGAACCACTGAAAGGAATGAAACCAAACATGGCATGAATGTTTCTTATGAGGTGCTGACCGAGTGTTGTTACTTTGAAGCCGATCCATAATCCAAGATGACTGCCAGCGGGGGACTTAGTTTAACATAGGACCCTATGGGAAATACATACAAATATCTTCTTTTAGAGAACCACTGAATGGAATGAAACCAAACATGGTATGAATGTTCCTTATGAGGTGCTGACCGAGTGTTGTTACTTTGAAGCCGATCCATCATCCAAGATTGCCGCCAGCGGGGGACTTAGTTTAACATGGGACCCTATGGGAAATACATACAAATGTCTTCTTTTAGAGAACCACTGAATGGAATAAAAGCAAACATGGCATGAATGTTCCTTATGAGGTGCTGACCAAGTGTTGTTACTATGAAGCTGATCCATAATCCAAGATGGCTGCCAGCGGGGGACTTAGTTTAACATAGGACCCTATGGGAAATACATACAAATATCTTCTTTTAGAGAACCACTGAATGGAATGAAACCAAACATGGTATGAATGTTCCTTATGAGGTGCTGACCGAGTGTTGTTACTTTGAAGCCGATCCATAATCCAAGATGACTGCCAGCGGGGGACTTAGTTTAACATAGGACCCTATGGGAAATACATACAAATATCTTCTTTTAGAGAACCACTGAATGGAATGAAACCAAACATGGTATGAATGTTCCTTATGAGGTGCTGACCGAGTGTTGTTACTTTGAAGCCGATCCATCATCCAAGATTGCCGCCAGCGAGGGACTTAGTTTAACATGGGACCCTATGGGAAATACATACAAATGTCTTCTTTTAGAGAACCACTGAATGGAATAAAAGCAAACATGGCATGAATGTTCCTTATGAGGTGCTGACCAAGTGTTGTTACTATGAAGCTGATCCATAATCCAAGATGGCTGCCAGCAGGGGACTTAGTTTAACATAGGACCCTATGGGAAATACATACAAATGTCTTCTTTTAGAAAACCACTGAATGCAATGAAACCAAACATGGCATGAATGTTCCTTATGAGGTGCTGACCAAGTGTTGTTACTATAAAGCTGATCCATAATCTAAGATGGCCGCCAGCGGAGGACGTAGTTTAACATAGGACCCTATGAGAAATGCGTACAAATGTTTTCTTTTAGAGAACCATTGAATGGAATGAAACCAAACATGGCATGCATGTTCCTTTTGAGGTGCTGACCAAGTGTTGTTACTTTGAAGCTGATCCTTCATCCATGATGGCTGCCAGATGGGGACAATGTTTAACAAAGGATCCTATGGACAATACATACAAATGTCTTCTTTTAGAGAACCACATACTGAATGGATTGAAACCAAACATGGCATGAATGTTCCTTATGAGGTGCTGATTAAGTTTTGTTACTTTGAAGCTGATCCTTCATCCATGATGGCCGCCAATGGGGGGGACTTCCTTTAACATAAGAACCTATGGGAAATACATACAAATGCTTCTTCTAGAGGTGCACTGAATGGAATGAAACCAAAACATGGCATAAATGTTTCTTATGAGGTGCTGATTAAGTGTTGCTACTTTGTTGCCGATTTACTGTTCAAGATGGCCACCAGGATTTTTTTATTAAATTACAGGACCAATATTAAACCAAATTTGGCCTCACTCATTATTAGGGTATCTGTTATGATTTTAATCTATTTTTACATGATTTCCAAAACCAAAGTAGAATCAGGTGAGCGACACAGGCTCTTGAGAGCCTCTAGTTTGTAAACCAAGTTACAAATGTCCACATCCAAAGGTTGTTCAATACAAATGTATCACTTTCAAGACGCAAGTTTCCCAGACATTTCTCATTAAGCAGCAGGACCTTTGCTGTATGGGGCATTATTAGCTCTCAGTCATCCTCTCAGTATATTTTTTATTTAAATTCAAGACCCTCTTCAGGGAAGGAGTGTATGTGTCTGTTGCAAATCAAAACATCTGACTTTACCTGGTGACTTTACCTAACATGTCCTTATTTCCAGAAATAGTTGAAACAGATCCCTACTTTGCTCTCAGTTGATCCATTTTTTTAATTTAGTGTTCAGTATGGTGAATGTTCATGAAAATACATTCCACTGAAAATTATGCAAGAAATACCTTCCACTGAAAAATATGCATGAAAATACCTTGCACTAAAAAATATGCAAGACATTAAATGTCATATCTTCCACTGAAAAATATGCATGAAAATACCTTGCACTAAAAAATATGCAAGACATTAAATGTCATATCTTCCACTGAAAAAATATGCACAAAAAACCTTGGACTAAAAAATGAGCAAACATTTTAGGGTGGTACAAAAAGGGATCTTTTTTCAAAGTTTGCAATGAATAATGAGTAATAAAATCATTGCTGACTTATTCATACTTACTTTTAGTCTTTGTCCTTCTGCAGTACCAACAAATTACAACTAATACCAATATCATTACAACCAATGGTAGTACTACTGACAAAATAATAATGTGTTGTTTAGTCAGTAAAGGACTATCTTCTTTTCTAAAAAGCAAACAATAACAAAAATCAATGCTGGTATGAAGTGAAAGCTGAACATTACTGTTAAATAAAATCCCATAACTTAGAAACTTATACTCTAAAATTTACAAAAATCGAAAGATAGCTTACGTCAATAGATAGAAACAACTCACCAAAGTTTAAGGAAAATGGTGAAAGCGTTTTTGAGTTATTGTCCAACATGCAAATGATGTTCCAATGTCCTCCGGGTTGCACATATTTTATCTATCCAAAGTACAAGGGCAGTAACTAAAAAAAGCACTTTTTTTTGTTCTATAAGACTTTTTATTAATATCTTAGAGAAATGAAGGCTTCAGAGCAAATGCAATGTGATTTCCATTATAATTAATATTTCAAAGGGGCATAACTCGTTAAAAATATTTGATCAGATTTATTTTCGAAATTGTCAACAACATTGCTGATATAAACCTATGATATAAGTTTCATAAAATTCTGGCAAGAATAGAACATATGAGAGCGCTAAATATGCAATTTTCAATATAATCAATATTTCCAAGGGGCATAACTCTTTTAAAAATAATTGATCAGCACTGATTTTCAAACTAGTCAAAGAAATTGATGATAGAAACCTAAAATATGAATTTCATAAAAATCAGGCAAGAATTGTAATAAAATGCTCCGCTGGGGCGCAGCTTGATACGACCGCAGAGGTCGAACCCTGAACAGTTGGGGCAAGTATGGACACAACATTCAAGCTTGATACAGCACTGAATTTGGATTGTAATTAAATATTTGACACAGAATGAATGTGGTCTAAGAACTTAAAATTTTTTAATTTACCTATTCAAACCATATCATTATTATTTGCTTTTATATATAAATCAGAAATAACCAATTTAAAATGGAAAATTTTAAAGAAAAAAAAGGGAAAAAAAAATCCCCCCCCAAATATTTTGAACCCCCTTATGATTCATCACCAACAAACTCAATTCCAGCCTTCCCTTTGTGGTATGGTACCTTGCAGTACAATTTCAGAGAGATCCATACACTTGAACACAAATTATTGTCTGAAAACTAGAAAAATGCTTGTTTTTTGGTCCCTTTTTGGCCCCAAATCCCTAAACGTTTAGGGCAATTACCCCCAAACTCAAACCTAGATTTCCCTTTGTGATATGGAACCTTGCAGTACAATTTCATAAAGATCCATACACTTACACACAAGTTATTGTCATGAAACTAGAAAAATGCTTGTTTTTTGCCCCTTTTTTGCCCCTAATTCCTAAAATTTGGAGGCAATTACCCCCAAAATCAATCCCAGCATTCCCTTTGTGATATGGAACCTTGTGGTACAATGTCAGAGAGATCCATACACTAACACACAAGTTATGTATGGAAGTTACAAAAATGCTTATTTTTGGCCCCTAATTCCTTAACTGTTGGTACCATAACCCTCAAAATCAATCCCCACCTTCCTTTTGTGGTATTGAACCTTATGGTAAAATTTCATAGAGATCCATTTACTTAAACTAAAGTTAGAGTGCGAAAACCAATGTGTCTTCGGACGACAACGACGCCAACGTCATACCAATATACGACCGCAAAATTTTTTTGCGGTCGTATAAAAATTCGTAAGGGTTCCACGGAACCCATTGTCTCACCTACTTTTGCTGTTGGTCGCAGGCTCAACACAAATGGGGAAAAAATTATTAAAAATTTTCCTCCAGATTCTATCTTTTGATTGTTAGAAGTTCTGTTCAAGTTTGGTAAAAATCCAAGAATGGTTATGAATCTAATAAATGTTTTAAAAACTTTAACTGCAGACTGTACGTAATGTTAACTGGAATAAAACTGGAGTCCATTTATAAGTAGTATATGGAAAAACAGGAAATAAATTTTTACATATTTCCTTCTAGATACTAGCTTTTGATCATAAACAAGCTTCTGTCCAAGTTTGGTACAAATCCAGGATAGTTTAAGAAAGTTATTAAAATTTGAAAAACTTTAACCACAGAGTGAATGTAATGTTAACTGGCAGAAAAACTAAGTCCATTTATAAGTAAAATACGAATAAACAGGATTTTTTTTAACAAAATTTACTTTTGAATACTATCTTATGATCACAAACAAGCTTCTGTTCAAGTGTGGTACAAATCCAGGATAGTTTAAGAAAGTTATTAAAATTTGAAAAACTTTAACCACAGAGTGAATGTTATGTTAACAGGCAGAAAAACTAAGTCCATATATGAGTAAAATATGGATAAACAGGATTTTTTTTTTACAAAATTTTCTTCTGGATACTATCTTATGATTATAAACAAGCTTCTGTCCAAGTTTGGTACAAATCTAGGATAGTTTAAGAAAGTTATTAAAATTTGAAAAACTTTAACCACAGAGTGAATGTAATGTTAACTGGCAGAAAAACTATTAAAGTCCATTTATAAGTAAAATACGGATAAACAGGATTTTTTTTTTACAAAATTTACTTCTGGATACTATCGTATGATCATAAACAAGCTTCTGTCCAAGTTTGGTTGAAATGCAGGATAGTTTAAGAAAGTTATTAAAATTTGAAAAACTTTAACCACAGAGTGAATATTTGTGGACGCCGCCGATGACGATGACGCTGACGGAATGTAGGATCGCTATGTCTCGCTTTTGCGACAAAAGTCACAGGCTTGACAAAAATGAGAGCGCTAACAATGCAATTTTCCATATAATTAATGTTTCCAAGAGGCATAACTCTTTTAGAAAAAAATGCTTCGCTGAGTGTAGCCTGATATGACCGCAGAGGTCGAACCATGAACAGTTGGGGCAAATTTGGACACGATATTCAAGCTTGATAATGTCTGAATTTGGATTGCGATCAAATTTTTGACATAATATAGGTTTCTGACACAAAATAAATGTGGTCAAAGATCTTAAAAATCTTTTGCGCAATACTGAAATGTGAAAAATTTTGAAAAAAAAAATATGAACCCCTTAAAAAAATGGAAAAAAAATTCACCCCCCCCCCCAAACTTTTGAACCTCCCCCCTGGAGCAATTACCCCAAAACTCAATACCAGCCATCCTTTTGTAGCATGGAACCTTGTAGTACAATTTTAGAGAGATCCATACACTTAAACACAAGTTATTGTTCGGAAAATACAAAAAAGCTTGTTTTTGGCCCTTTTTTAGCCCCTAATTTCTAAACTGTTGTTACCATAAACCCCAAAATCAATCCCAACCTTTCTTTTGTGGTATTGAACCTTCTTGTAAAATTTTATAGAGATATATTCACTTAAACTTAAGTTATTGTCTGGAAACCAAATGAGTCTTCGGACGACGACGAAGACAACATCATAGCATTATACGAACCCAAAAAATTATTAATCGACACAAACTCGTCCAAGACATTGCTGATATGAAGCTATGATATAAGTTTCATAAAAATCTGGTAAGAACTGAACAAATGAGAGTGCTAATGATGCAATTTTCTATTTTAATTAATGTATCCAAGACTCTTTTAAAAAAATTGATCGGCACTGATTTTTGAACTCGTCCAAGACATTGCTGATATAAGTTTCATAAAAATCTGGCAAGAATTGTACACGTGAGAGCACTAACAAGACCAGATGGAAGGACGGACGCCAGGTATTTCTTTGTCCCCTGCAACGCATTGCATGGGGGACAAAAAAATGCCTTAATAAGGGAAAGGGTTAATTTGGTTCAAAAAAAGGCCAGAAGATTTTAAAATTTTTACAATATAAAAATATGGAGATTATAAGAATGTATATAAACTAGAGGATATGAGCATGCATTGATTACACGCCTGACAGCCATGCAAAATATTTTGAGGAATGTCTAAATATATTTAAGTAAACTGCAGGAAAGTCTAACAGAAGCAAAATTTATTTACCGATACTATTCAAAGAAGGATAGGGTTAAGAATTGATATTGAAGAGAACCTACAAAACATATTTGCCTTAAAGTTATCAAAATATTTTCAAAAAGATTTGGCAATGTTTCTGCTCCTCTTCTGGTTGTCACAAATCTATTGTTTATGGGTGCTTAACTCTTAAACGTAAGGCGTCTAGGAACCTGAATCCTTCACCTGGTATTTTTAAATAATGCAATAGTTTTTGTAGCTTTCTGTGACAATCTAATTATTAAAGCTCTCAAGATAATTGCCAAAAATGCTAACATTAAAATCGGTCAAAAATATCATTTAGGGTCAGTAACTCTTGTAAGAAGACAATCCCCAAATTCAGTTTCCGTCTTTCTATTATAGTTTTTCAAGATTATAGACAATAAATGGAGAATGTGTCATTGGGCCACAGATGCCCCCGCTTGTAAATATGCATGAGTCAACTTCCACATACAGATGCAGGTTGTTAAGACCGTTTTGTGATTATAAGCATTGTGTATAAGTTTCATATCATTTGGTTGAGGCAAACTAAACTTAGAGAACAGAAATAACAGATTTAGCAATTTTTACCATTTATAAAGAGGCATGACTCAAGAACTGTAAAAGTAACGTCACCCAATTTCAAACTTAACCTGTGTTTTGTGGTTATACGTATTGTGTATAAGTTTCATAACATTTGGTTGAGGCAAAATAAAGTTAGAGAACAGATACGAAAAATTCAGCAATTTCTATGTTTATAAAGGGCATAACTCTAGAACGGTAAAGGTAACGCCACCCAATTTCGAACTTGATCTGTGTTTTGTGGTAATAAGCATTGTGTATAAGTTTTATAACATTTGGATGAGGCAAACTAAAGTTAGAGAACAGATACGAAAAATTCAACAATTTTTATGTGTATAAAGTGGCATAACTCATGAATGGTAAAAGTGATGCCACCTATCAATTTCGAATTTGATCTGTGTTTTGTGGTAATAAGCATTGTGTATAAGTTTTTTAACATTTAGTTGAGGCAAACTAAAGTTAGATAAGGAAACCAATTGACAGATGGAAAGACGGGACGAACAAGGGTAACACTTAATGCCCCCTCCGCTACGGCGGGGCATAAAAAAATATAAAGAGTAAAAAATATCAGGCCAATAACTCAGTTAAAGAGTCAATCTATAAGTTCAGTTATGTTATACTTATCTGAAGTACTAATATATGTCGCTATCTAAAGTTTCTCTTAATCTATTGTAATTTTCAAAATCAAGGGCAAAAACAAAACTAGAGGCTCTAAAGAGACAGTGTCGCTCACCTTGGTCTATGTGCATATTCAACAAAGGACACTCTCCAACATTGTAGACGAGAATAGATTACATGACAAAAATCTCTGTTTTGTTGATTTTGTATTGCTGATCATTTAATCTGTTTAGTTTCCCTCTATCTTCTTTAGTTTTTGCTCAGAACACAAAAGAGGGTAATCAAAATTCTCATATAAGGGCAATCACTCCTATAAAGAGTGACCGTCTACTAACTATATCCACAAAATTTGACTTGTTAGTAGATCTTGCATTGCTGATCATTTTTGTGATTTAAAGTATCTATTTATCTACTATCATTTTTATCATATATTAGGCAAAACACAAAAAAAATGGTAAAAATCGTCATTAAAGAGCAATAATTACTATAAGGAGTCGTTGGACGATTTCCTCCATATAGTCTTAATTTTAGATCTTGTTATGTTGATAATTTTTGCTTATTTAAGTTTCTATCAATCTATTATATTTTTTAAGATATAAGGCAAAAACTCAAAAAATTGGTAACAAGAGGCTGTCGAGTGACAGCAAACCAGATTTTCCTGCAGAGGTCGAACCCTGAACAATTGAGCAAGTATGGACACAACATTTAAGCTTAAAACAGCTCTGAATTTGGATTGTGATTGAATATTTAAAATAGATTATTATCTAATTAATAATGAAAATGATATTTGCAAATCTGAACCCCAAACAGGATCATGTAAATATTAAACATTAACACACACAACAGAAATCAAATACCACATAACAACTGTGACATCTACCTTCATAACACACATGACTTAAAGAAAATAGTTATAAATTTTGACAACTAATGACTAAAATTAATTGAACAGAATCCATATACATTTTGTACTTAATCTATCATTACTGGTTCATGGAATAAGTTTGAGGTATTTCCCTTTGATCAGAAATATGGTTTAACTAATAAAGCAAACATAGTTCTCTAAAATTAGATATGATTTAACTCTCTAAAATTAGATATGATGTTACACAATGTATATCTATTTTCAAATTATAATCAAATATAATTAATAGTTCCAAATATTTTTTCTTTCATTTGTCACAAACTAATACAGATCTGCAAATCAAATGTTGTTGTTTATTGTTGTCATAAAAATCCATTTATAATTAAACTTTGTTAACTTACTGTTGCTTTGTTGTAGTGGTTTCATTGTATCCTGTTGGCTGAGGTACTGAACTCACTGATAAACAAAAAATAAATGACAATACATATATGGCAAAAAAGTACAGCATTTTTCTGAAAAGGAAAAATTCATTTAAACTTTTTATCCCCTACTGCTGCTACTGCAATGTCAATTGCATACTATTATAACTTAAGTATAAATGATAAACTGTTAACACAGAGATATGTCTTGCCTATTTGTTAATTTGATAATGCAAATGTTGAAATTAAAATAGCAATACTTTAACATGTAAATTATGCAAATATTCAAAGTCAATGAACCATGACTGAAGGTACAGGGCTAAACAATCTCCATGGAAATGAGATGTGCCAATGCTAATACAACTGCATACCTAATACCATTGACTTTTCATGAGTCGTTCCCTTTAAACAAACCTAAACACAAACATTAACTTGTAAACCATGTAAAAGTTTCAAAGTTAATGAACCATAACCATGAGGAACAATAGAGTGGCTACTTGACAGATCTAAAAATTGTTCTCCATAGAAACCATTTCATGCATCCCTTTGTTATCTGTTTGATGGCAATAAAACTATATATACATATACAAATATTTTAGCAGTATTTAATTTCTGCACTTGTTCTTAATACAGTTTGTGAACAAAAAAAAATGTATCTTTCAAAAATACCATTTTGCCCATCCTTGGTTAGACCTTGTGTTGTCATGTTTTGATAGAGTAACTCTGGAGTTGTAACTTTATCAATTGTGGATCTACAAGTTCTTCTTTTGGTTGAATTCCCATTAAAAAGAACAACTTCTGTAGACTTGCACCTGAAATATTTCATTTACAAAACTTTGAATAGCTGTTTCAATTATGGGAACTTTTATGTATTTGTATCCTTCTATTGCATTGTGGGTATCAAAGATTCTGAAAGTTCATGTCTTGTAAAAATATTTAATTGAACAACAAGCTGTAGAGGTTAATATTGTACTGTACTGTATTTCTGAAGTTCAATGTTATACAATGTATTAGCATTTTGCAACATTTTTTAAATATAACCTTCTTTTTCAACATGTGATTTATTGGGGGTTTTTTGTTAAAAAAAATGATGATATAACAAAAACAAACAACATAACTTCATTCGTACAAGCTGTTGTTAAAACATTTTGACTGTTGGTGCATCATTTCAATAATATGCCTAATTTTGGTTAACATGTTATAAGGCAAAGCATACTGTTCATTCAGAAATTATTGCAAGGTTTTTAATAATGTGAATAATGCAACTTGCTGAGTATCGCAATAATAAGAACTCAAATGCTGATATCTGATACAAATATCTGTATGCAGATTTTCTTTAAATCACAATAATTATTCTTGCATTATTTAGATATAAGAAGATGTGGTATGAGTGCCAATGAGACAACTCTCCATCCATTCTTCAAAAAATTGCAATAATAAATGCAAGCAATAATTTATGAATTTACAGTTCTTAAATTCTACGTTTTTTCATATTTTTATGAAATTTTGTATGCATTTAGAACACCTTGAACTGAATCTGACTATAGAAAATTGATACATGTATAGTTTTTAGAATAATTCATGAGTTGGAAATCCAGAACAATCATAAGTCAGTTTTATATTCCGCTTGTCATAATCTTAACTCTGTTATTGTTTTCTCAATTGTAACATTGTAGTACAGCTTGAATTGATCATTTATTTTAATAAATAGTATTTGTATATATTTGTTCATGTATTGACTTATTGACTGACTCTGACATAGTATACAGTATTAAGGTACTTTGATTTTCACTTTGGTAATTATATTCTGTGTTTTCTATTTCTTTATTCCGATTGGTTACTCTGTGAACTCCTTTGATATTGAGGCACTCTTTTCAATTCTTCGCAGAGACATAGCTATAGAACACTGACACTTTATTGTGATATATATATATATATATATATATAAAGTGCCTAGAAAATCAACCTAACAATGTTAGAGTAGATTTGATTCTTTACTTCCTCCCCAAGCGGGGCTGGAACCTGTACTTTTCACTTCATACTTCTACGGCAACACCGCCTAGCATTGCGCAGACGCCTTATCCCCTCCTCTAACTATAGCTGATAAAAATCAGCTTTCGTTTCGGGAGGTGTTACCTTCTCGTAGGAATTAAACAAGGACATCTAGACGCAATACACAAAGTATTTTAAGTGTACAGAAATGATCATCTACTCATCTCTTTAGTATAATTACAGGATGCTGTTCTATTTTTAGAAGCATACAATCACTGTAAATTTATATATATGTATGTCTGCCTATGTGTAGTGACAACTGTAAATTATACCTTGTCCATCGGATTTCTTATGATTAAGAAATGCCAGGCTTTAGAATATTTATAAAGTGCCTAGAAAATCAACCTAACAATGTTAGAGTAGATTTGATTCTTTACTTCCTCCCCAAGCGGGGCTGGAACCTGTACTTTTCACTTCATACTTCTACGGCAACACCGCCTAGCATTGCGCAGTCGCCTTATCCCCTCCTCTAACTATAGCTGATAAAAATCAGCTTTCGTTTCGGGAGGTGTTACCTTCTCGTAGGAATTAAACAAGGACATCTAGACGCAATACACAAAGTATTTTAAGTGTACAGAAATGATCATCTACTCATCTCTTTAGTATAATTACAGGATGCTGTTCTATTTTTAGAAGCATACAATCACTGTAAATTTATATATATGTATGTCTGCCTATGTGTAGCCTACGGGTAACACCTCCCGAAACGAAAGCTGATTTTTATCAGCTATAGTTAGAGGAGGGGATAAGGCGTCTGCGCAATGCTAGGCGGTGTTGCCGTAGAAGTATGAAGTGAAAAGTACAGGTTCCAGCCCCGCTTGGGGAGGAAGTAAAGAATCAAATCTACTCTAACATTGTTAGGTTGATTTTCTAGGCACTTTATAAATATTCTAAAGCCTGGCATTTCTTAATCATAAGAAATCCGATGGACAAGGTATAATTTACAGTTGTCACTACACATAGGCAGACATACATATATATAAATTTACAGTGATTGTATGCTTCTAAAAATAGAACAGCATCCTGTAATTATACTAAAGAGATGAGTAGATGATCATTTCTGTACACTTAAAATACTTTGTGTATTGCGTCTAGATGTCCTTGTTTAATTCCTACGAGAAGGTAACACCTCCCGAAACGAAAGCTGATTTTTATCAGCTATAGTTAGAGGAGGGGATAAGGCGTCTGCGCAATGCTAGGCGGTGTTGCCGTAGTAGTATGAAGTGAAAAGTACAGGTTCCAGCCCCGCTTGGGGAGGAAGTAAAGAATCAAATCTACTCTAACATTGTTAGGTTGATTTTCTAGGCACTTTATAAATATTCTAAAGCCTGGCATTTCTTAATCATAAGAAATCCGATGGACAAGGTATAATTTACAGTTGTCACTACACATAGGCAGACATATATATATATATATATATATATATATATTTATTATTCTTCTGGAAACCATTCTTTATATTCAGGTCAGTAATATTCTCACATAAGTCTTTGGTGCATGCATTTTCTATATTTTTATCTTGGTATGAAAGATATGAAAGTGTTATGAAAACGTGTATTCCTGTTTGAATTGTTTTACACTAGTCATTTTGGGGCCCTTAAAGCTTGCTGTTCAGTGTGAGCCAAGGCTCCACTTTGACCTATAATTATTTACTTCTTTTACTTTTTATACATTGTGACTTGGATGGAGAGTTATCTCATTGGCACTCATACCACATCTTCTTATTTATATGAAAGTCCTGCATGCATTCCCACAAGTATGAAAGAGTTCATATTTTTATTTTAAGTTGGTATTTGCAAGACGGATAGAATATTACAGTTGTTATATTATTTTTCATATTTGGCTGTTGTTAAGATTCCAGCACAGAACATCGAGTTAAACTAGATTTATATATTATTTTTGGCATTAAGACTTATGAAGTCAATATTTCTTTATATTCAGATTCCAGTATGTGAAGCATATAGACGTACAGTAACTTTATAGAGGAACACTGCTCAGCCCGGCCTGTATTATATACACGGTAAGCTGTGTTTACATGTTTATTTATTTACGTGTTGTCTATTTGTACTTATGTGTTTTAATTGATTTGTGTCTTGTCTGTGATTGTAATGTGTTATTGTTTAGTTTACGATTATCTCCAAATAAAATAGTGCATTAGAATTGATTACTTTAAATAATGATTGTTGACACAAGGATATCAGATATAAACTTTGGCACAGAGACTTATGATTTGTAGTAAAATGTATTTTATTAATTATGGTATATTTCAACTGTAGTTAACTACTTGGATAATTTGTATTTGAGTTTATTGATATGGAGATAATTAGAGTTATTGTTCTTAGTATGTGTGAATTGTGTCTTATTGCATGTTTATATATTACAGGGTATTTATTTGAGATTGCCTATAATAAACCATATAGAACCCTACTCAGAGTAAATTAAGTCCAAACTGATGAGTCTACAACATCAACAAACCAGACATAACATCAAATGTTTACTAACAATAAATATCAGGACAGGTGCCACTGGTTGAGCAGGAGCTGGTACTCCTTCTGGAGGATCTCAGTTTTATCCCTTGTTTTTGGTAGGGTTTGCGTTGCTCATTTATCTTTAGTAGTGTTTTGTGCACTGTTTTCTTTCTGTATTTTTTCCTTTGTGGATCACGGTGTTGTATGTCTTTATTTGATTTTAATGATTTTTGATTCCCCCTTTGTATTTTCTCTCACCTTTTATATATATATAACTTTTATCAAGCAAAAATTGACTGAAATTAGCATTCAATAACAGAAAACAATGGGCAAATTTGCATCCAAATTGCCCTCCCCTCAATGCAAGTTCAACAAAAAATGAATTGAACCACTGTTGACTTCAATGTCAAAATATGTAGTGGCATTGACCACTCTGTGGTGGTAAGCAACATTATTTAGGGTATGCCACTATAAAACACAATGACACTTCCACCAACTATTAGTCCTGTCAAATTTATAATTAAATAGTCAGGTTTAGTTGATGAAAAAATATTGACAGCAGAAGCTTAATGCATTAGAACATTGTCTAGTCTTGACTAGTGATAAGAATACTACTATTGACCTTATTCTCTTTCCCTCCAAATAACACTTACTCGGGTTGTGGAATGCATTCTTCAAATCCTATTGTATCTTTGTACATGCTATGACCACATGGTCGGCATACACCTGAAAAAGTTAATAATATTTTATTAACATCTTCAGTAATTTGTTAAGACAAAAAAAAAAACAATTTGATTGATTAAAGGTCATAAAAAATAATTCTATGTACAATGTACTGTGAGGTAATGCTCACTAATCATACTCCTCCCTCAAGACACAAGTTTGTGGCAAACAGGTAGTGGAGAATCAAAGAAACTGAAATGTGTCACAAAGCACATCCAAATGTAGTTTGGTGCCATATATCACAAAGCTATGACTAGAAGTGGCTGAACAATAATGTAATAAAAAAAATCTAATACATACATAACATTTAAAGAATACATGTTTTTGGGAATAGTTATTTCATAACAGAGAAGAAGTTTGGTGCCATATATCAAGAAGCTGTGGCTTTTAATTGCTGAGAAAAAATACAGAAAGACATACGCACATACATGTACACAGGTAAAAAAGTATTCCCCCTTTCTTTGGTGCAAGGGTATAAAAATACACAATGAAAATGAGTTATGAGGACAGACTATATAATTATGAGACATTTTTTTTCCCTATAAATCTTCTTGCTTAGAAATTAAAGAACCTTAAGGAGCAATCTCACAATCAAATATTACCATATACATGTATAATAAAAGAGGTTACACTTCAAAAATAGGGTACCCCTAAATTTAATTGAAAACAACAGGTACTGCAAGCAAGGCTCACAAAAGAGGAGTCAAATATGTACTTTGGTTTGGTAATATGTCATAGTAGAGTTCATGCTTTAATCCTCAAAATCATTCTGATGAAGAAATGAAATAGGTGGCGTAATGCACATCATGTGGGTTATAGATACCAGTGTTTTCCATTCGGCATTTAAGCCGGGTGTGCTGACCACCTTCTTTTGAAAGCTGACCACCTTTCCATTTTAGGGAGGTGGTCGGCTTTTTTTTCAAATTCCGGAATTTTTTGGTTCCGTACCGTAAAAATTTGAATACTAATCGCGCCTCGCTGATTTGTTTTCATTGACAAAAATGGCGGATCATCAAATTTCAATGTTTTCTATTATTATTCGGGGGAAGAGAAAGGCAGATGACGATGGTGATAAGGAAAACTTTAGGCAAAATAAGTCAACTACAACGGATAGTTGTATTGAAATTGTTAAAATTGAAAAAAGTATCAAAACAACGGAAAAGGCACACGAGCGATCGCAAGGGTAAACAGGTTGGGAACAATCCCCTAATGAGGGATATTCCTTAAATGAGTGACAAGAGGTTGTCTTATTGTTGAAGAAAAGAAAAAAGAAAAACTAAGATTTTTTAACTTAAAAGGGGGAAAACTCGTTATAAAATCGAATCAAATCAAATAGTTTATTATTCCAATCAGGGTCCCACAGGGGGCATTTACAATTAACAATAATTTATGATAGTATAACTATAAGCAACAAACATGAGACATTGTACAGTTATGTAATATTTGGAACAACTTTTCTAAAAGAGGGTCCCTTTTTTTTTATGATAAACATGATAAAGTAGATATAAGTCCAGGATTATTACAAAATTCTTGGACATGTTTTGACCATATAATACAAAATAGATGTATAGTTCTTTGGAAAAAGTTTCTGTAAATGAAATAAATATGTGCTCGTTTGTATCTCTTGAAAAGTATCCTTCATAAAAGGGATAGTCATTACATTGAGAGGTTGTTCCCAAGCTGAGAAATATGAACAGGACTTTAAATGGCTAATCGTCACAGAAGAAGGATGTTACTGTTCTGTGTACCAAAAATACAGCACTAAAGCAAGGAATAGGACAAAAACTTGGCAGGAGGAGGAAGTCCTGCAAAAGCCATCTGCTATTCAATTCCATTAAATGTGAATACAATACTAACCATTCTTTTTGTGACAACACCCACAGTAAAAAAAAAACCCTGTTGGAAAAGTATAAAAAAAATAATACGACCGGTTGCAAGTGATTTTTTCAAAAGACCCACCTTACCTTAGTGAAAAATGGAGAACACTGGATACTATAAAATTTCAACAAAATTCTTAACCACTTAAACATTCATCCATATTAAAATTTGAGGGGATGACAAATATGTAGGTGATACATGTGTATTAGTGACATAGATCATTCTGTAATATTTTTAATATCTAAACTCATAAAATACTTTGACCTTCCTTAATACAACAGAATCAGACAATAAATTGAGTCTCTTACATTGTATTTAGGTGACAACAAAGAGTTAACAGATAAATAAATGATAAATACATTGTATATAGAAAACTAAAGACACAGAAACACCAAATAACAGGGTTGATTACAGCTGCTCCAGAGAGTGCAGAAAACAATAAGATTTCAACAGAATGTAAACTCTGTGGAAATATGCATAGCTAAGTATCAATATGGAGGATAAATTGATCACACCTGATACATATAAACTTTTCTATACACAGCTGTCTCTCGTCATTCACCATACAGACAACTTTTGCACTTAAAGCATCAAAAAAGAACCCTATATATATTCAATTTATGTTGATATGAAAAACAGTTTAATTTTATCCATGGATTTGTTAATTTTCTGTTCAAAGGGAAATAACTCTAACTGAATAAATGATATAAAAATAGTTCCCTTACATTAGATATGATGTTTTTGCTTTGTTCAAAGCTAAATACCACTTAGATTCAGCATATCAAAGAACACCAAGAATTCAATTTTTTTTAATTGAAAAAAAAAGTTGTATTTTGGACCCTTTGGACCTAAATGTGGACCAATTTGAAGACAGGCCTCAAATTAAAAAAAAAATCTAACAAGAAACCAAATGACAAAGAAATTAATTATTAATTTCTGTTCAAAGGGAAATTACTCAATCACATTACAAGTACCACTTTTGGCTACTGAAAAGGGCTACAACTCAACAACGAGAAGCTAAAATCGTGAAAATTGAACTTGACCTTCATTTAGTCACAGGAAACAACATATCTAAATTTGGAAAGATTTCATCAAAGTGTTTTCATATTAATGAATGGACACTGTTTGGCAGCCGCCCAACCGCCCACCCGCCGTACATCCCCAAATCAATAACCGATTTTTCTTTTGAAAATCCGCTTAAAAAGTATGCCTGAAGCAGCATCAGCAAATTTTCAATGACTTAATCATATCTACAAATTCCATGCTTTCGAAAATTAAAGAATTTAAAAGAATAGAAATCCAAGATAAACAAAACTTAATTATTACAAAATTCCTACCATTTTTTAAAGACAAATAATACCCTGGAGGACAATTTTCGACTTTTGTTAGCTCACATAAATCTGGATTGGTACCAAAATATCCAGCTTCTGTTTTACACTGACAAATTGGTTTCAATGTTTCATAACACTCTGCTTGATTAATTACTTCTGCCTCTGAAATAAAAGAAGCAAAGCTTAATGAACGCATAGCATACACATACCACATGACACATACATTGATAGGCCATCAGGATGAGTTGACTGGAGTTACCTATTTTGTTACTATTGATTAACATAAGAGTAAAAAATTGAAAATCTAAATTAATTCAAATTAAACAGAGAGCAAAAAGCATGTCAAATCAATTGTTGTAAAGCAAACAAAACACTAACCATCAGATTTGCATGTACATTCTTCTGTTGGATTCTTACACACAAAAAGCACTGGTGGATCAGAAAACTTTGATGAATCAAATGATTCTATGCAGACAGGTCGATCTGACGGACATGGTTCACAGGAATCTCTTAAGCCATCCCCTTCTGTGCATGGTTTAAAAATGTGATCTACAAAATATAAATTTCATTCATACATAAGGAAGAAAGGGGGTTGGCAGGTAAAATAGTTATATATATAGTTCAAAATTTATTACTTGGAAATTATGAATTAACACCAGACAGATCCTTGTGACCAGGATGAAAGCTACAATGAAATATACAAACAATCATTTACACAGATACTGAAGACACTTAAAATACTTATTTTCCAGGAAAGACATTTGTGGAACAAACATGACAAATGGTCACATGATTAATTCATTAAAATATGTTTTACTAACATTAGTAATAAACCTATGAATGTGTTACACAAAACTGGTTGCAGTGCAAGGAGGTTATAATTGCACAAACTGTTGTACATTCTACTATGACAACCTAAATATCATCAACCAGTATAATTACAGTATATCTACTCTTAGCGCAAACGCTATTGCTCAGGATAATATAAATGCCAAACCCATGGTTAAATGAAAACAAATCTCCGGCTGCCATGAACTATTTCTTTTTTTTAAAACAAAAAGCTTAATAGCTCTGAGAAGATGGGTTGTTTTGTTTCTGTGGAACCATGCGGTCGTAAAAATAAGTTTAAATGCACACGAAAGTGTTCACCATGGGTTACTGGAAAATGTTCTTCAAATAATTTTATTTCTTTAAATACTTATAACTAAGTTGTTCAAAGAGAGTCTAAGTTGTGCACATTGAGTAAGATTTTGTTTAGCATATGTCATTTTTGGATAGTACATGACACAGATTGCCTGATAGCTATCCTTTCCCCTAAAACTTGTGAGAAATAATGAAATTTAAATGACTTCTTAAGACTTACTTTTAGGACATTGTATGCCCATGCATTTTGTACTTGTTCCATTAGAATACAATCTGTCTCTTGTCCCTACTGCATTGCACTGAAATGTATAATTTTTCGAACATGAATATCTGAATGTCAAATCCTTATAGAAATTGTCAATGATTCATAACATTGAGCAGGCATACATATTTTTCATACTTTGACATGAAGTAATAAAATATAAGTTGGCATGTTTCTTTATTTTAAAAGATCTTTCTAATCAATCCAGTATAATAAATAGGAGCACTTAATGGATTATTTTCAAAATTTATCATGTTTCTACAGAATTGTTTTGGCAAGATTCTTTATTTTATAATATATGGGGAAAAACTAAAACAAATAGTTTTGAATTCTAGCACACTAATAAATACCAGTGAATGGAAATGGAAGTTCTACATACAGTAATCTTTGAAGGAGTTGTTAAGAACTAACCATTCTGTGTTTATTTTGTAGACCTCTCCTTATTTACATTTGTACTTTATAGTTACACCAATTTAATTTTGAATCTATATTGAATCATAGAAAAATGGGTTTGAACCAACCTATAAACGATCAATGATTATGTGACCAGGAGTACCCAAATTGCATCCATGCTTACACATCCTTAAAAATGGAATAACAGATGTTTTGTCTTATTTCTTCATATATTTAGAACAATTTGACATTAGTTCATGCTTAATATTCATTTTTCACGAATTGGATGCTTGTAAAATATTTTATTTGCTCATTTTTTAAAAGATGACTTTTTGTGAACGTCGCATGGCGACGATTCCTTAGATTTTACTTTTCCAATGAATGTTTCATCTGTTGATACATACTGTAAACGCTTTGTGTATATTTGAATATATTTACCAATGTTGAAGGACGTGTATAATGTCAAATCATAAAAATACAAATTGTTTTGTCTCAAAGAAAACTTGTTATTTCCGCAGCTATTTTAGTTGAAAGGTGCAATTTGGGTACTGTGACGTTATATATTGACAAACAAGTATTTAAAGACATGAAAAAATCACTTACCTGAAGCACACAACATAGAAATATGGCAACTCCACTCAAATGCTGAACGTGTTTTTCAATCATTTGCAGAACTTAAAGCAGGAGGGATACCAAAACTTGAAAAATATGCCACTATTCAGTCTTTGTTGAGATTGAAGGACAAATCCTAAACACAGTATTTAAAGTTAAACATGTAAACAATAAATATTCCTGAAACATAATTTGCATGCTAGAGTAGATATGTTCTCCAATTTTCCATTAAAGTAATTTCCAGTTCCTTTTATTGAATATAATTCTAAGTTTATATTATTATTGTAAATTTCAGATTCCAGAAAGTTAACTGTTCATCCTCTGAATTACTGTTTCTTTTTCACTTTAGTTATATGCATCTTCTTTGGTTTTGTAATCAACAACTACTTTCCACCTGAAAAAAGTGAGCACAATAGTATTTATTTTAAGAATATCAAAATGTTTGGAAACATATTCGTTCATATTTAACTGGATATTACCTAATATTTACAATATACTAGTCAAGTTGAGTCTTATTTCATAGGTCAATTTCTGTCAAACTGAAGAATCAGCAGTAACAGATATAAATTCTAAACTACAGACTGTACTGAACTGCCAACCAGTATCATCTTGGTCTAAATCGATTGTTTTATTACAAAAAGATTAGACTAGATGTGGAAATTGGTGCCTAAAAATAACCACATAAATTTTGGAAAAAAAAATTGAAAAGGGTAAATCCACAAAAACCCTGTGTAACATCCAGCAACTGCTGCTGTACATGTCAGTGTGAAAGTGTATTGTTAACTGTTAAAAAAATAAGTTTATTACCGGTAATCAGTAAAAATACAGAAAAATAATTAATGAAAAAAAATCAAAATTCTTCTCTGAGTGTTATCTCTGAATTATGAAGAAGCTTCAGTCAAAGTTTTAAAATCTTTAACCATAGACTGTACTTAAATGATTTCGGCCAAATAAAGGAGATGTGGTACGTATGATTGCCAATTAGACAACTATTCACCAGAGCTGTTCAAATGACATTTATCAGTAAAAATGGGACAAAGTCTCAAATGGCCTGGTTGCAATATTTGTGACTCATCAATGTAGAATGTTTACAAATTAGTTTTTGCTGGAAAATTTCTAATTCCCAAGTCAGGAAAAATGTGTAACATTCTTCAAACAATTCCATAATTTCAGCAAGTGCACAACTAAAATATGTGTACAATCTTTCTGTGAATCTTAGGGATAATGGTTGAAAACTATAGAAGTTGAAAACTTGTACCCTCTTTCATAAATTTTGCTGAAAAATGACCCAAGTCTGGAAAAATGAGAAAAAAATCCTCAACAATTACATGATAGCAAGTGCACAACTTCAACAAATGTGCAATCTTCCTGTGAAGTTTTGGGATGTGGGTTGAAAATTGTAGGAGAAGTTGATTACACAAATTAGGTCATTGTAACCCACTTTTTCCTGCCTGCCTAACCGACATTATCATACTACATGTATAAGCTAATATTTTAGACTTTGTCCAACCCTGCCAAAAATTGGAAAAAATCTAAATCTGACTTTTGACATGTTAGATGGTATCTCTTGGTATAATGTAAAGTTTCATAAAATCCAATAAAGGTTTGCATGGTTTGAGAAAGGTTATAGGTGTATATAAAACTGTAATCATAGTCTTTTATCTAAATAATAATATTAACTTCGCAAACCAAAGTGCCTTAATTTTAAATATAATATCTTAGAATCAGTATTAATTTACTATTGATGCTCAATGAAAAGTACTTTTTGTAACTAACATTAATAACAAGCTTGCTGTTGGCTGTCTTGAGACTGCATGCTCCTTTGTGGGAAGAAAGTTGTAACACCATGAACACTTGTTGTTGGTTATTTAAAAAGAAATAAGGAAGTAGGAGGCCAATCTTTAATAAAATGCTCCGCTGGGCGCAGCTTGATACGACCGCAGAGGTCGAACCCTAAACAGTTGGGGCAAGTATGGACACAACATTCAAGCTTGATACAGCACTGAATTTGGATTGTGATTAAATATTTGACACAGCATAGGTTTCTGACACAGAATGAATGTGGTCTAAGAACTTAAAAAATTTTAATTTACCTATTCAAACCATATCATTATTATTTGCTTTTATATATAAATCAGAAATAACCAATTTAAAATGGAAAATTTTAAAGAAAAAAAAAAGGAAAAAAAAATCCCCCCCCAATTTTTTGAACCCCCTTATGATTCATCACCCCCAAACTCAATCCCAGCATTCCCTTTGTGGTAAGGTACCTTGCAGTACAATTTCAGAGAGATCCATACACTTGAACACAAGTTATTGTCTGGAAAATAGAAAAATGCTTGTTTTTAGGCCCCTTTTTGGCCCCAAATTCCTAAACATTTAGGGCAATTACCCCCAAACTCAAACCCAGCTGATATGGAACCTTGTAGAACAATTTCATAAAGATCCATACACTTACACACAAGTTATTGTCCTGAAATTAGAAAAATGCTTGTTTTTTGGCCCCAAATTCCTAAACGTTTTGGGCAATTACCCCCAAACTCAATTCCAGCTTTCCCTTTGTGATATGGAACCTTGTAGTACAATTTCAGAAAGATCCATACACTTACACTAAAATTATTGTCTGGAAACTAGAAAAATGCTTGTTTTTTGCCCCTTTTTTGGCCCCTAATTCCTAAAGTTTTGAGGCAATTACCCCCAAAATCAATCCCAGCATTACCTTTGTGATATGGAACCTTGTGGTACAATGTCAGAGAGATCCAAACACTAACACACAAGTTATGTCTGGAAGTTACAAAAATGCTTATTTTTGGCCCCTTTTGGGCCCCTAATTCCTTAACTGTTGGTACCATAACCCCCAAAATCTATCCCAACCTTACTTTTGTGGTATTGAACCTTATGGTAAAATTTCATAGAGATCCATTCACTTAAACTAAAGTTAGAGTGCGAAAACCAATGTGTCTTCGGACTACGACGACGTCGACGATGCCAACGTCATACCAATATACAACCACAAAAATGTTTTTGCAATCGTATAAAAATGTTGAGCATCTTATAAAACAAAACGAACTCAAGTTGACTTTTTCACAAACTTTATCCATATTTATCTGATCCATTTATAACTCGAGCTCTCTACTTTCACTTTTCATTGTTTCTCTCAACCAATGTATATATAAATGCAGTATAATTTCTACATTCACTTACTTGAAATTTTGAGTAATTTCCAAAATTAAAATTATTTTTTCAAAAAAAAATTCTTATATCATGTAATGTACATGATGTATACTAAAAATGTGAAAGCAATTAATTTTGTTACAATCTCAAGCTAAGAAAATAAAATCTAACACACACATTTAAAACAAAATCATAGAAAAATATTGTTTTTTTAATTTTTTATTGAAATTAAAAGAATCTCACTGACATATGACCACTATACACAAGAATTACATTCAAAGAGAAGAGTCACTGCTTTATATATGTAGACCTGTGTAAAAACTGCCATTTTTGTCCATTTAATTGTTATTATGAACCTTAAGATTTTTACCTGAAATTTTACAAAATGTATTTTCTAATCCCAGTGTTGTACTTTACCAGAGACATATATACACAAGTATATATGTCTCTGACTTTACTTAAAATAATAAATATAAGGTTCCCATTTGTTTTTGTCAAGTAATGTCCAAAATGCTGCCAAAATGTCTTGGTGCTGAAGTGACCCCCTGTTACCAATACCATGATGAGCTATTAGGTCCAAGGACACAGTTATCGTCCTTAGATTTTCGTTGTCTACAAATATAGTCCCCAGTGTGGACAGTGTATAACTTGCAATTTTTTTTCATATCTACACAATGTAATGTAAAGAAATATATACATTAATAAAAATAGATTATTATCTAATTAAAGGATTTCTCTTCATAATTTTTTTTATATCTATAGCATTCAGAAAATTAGTTTATACTAAATAACAAACAAACCTGCCAAAAAATTCTTCAAATAATTTAACAAAGAATGTCTTTTAAAAAATGAGTTATCTCCCTTTGTACAGAAATATGGTTTAACATAGTACTCTAACATTAGATATGGTCCAGAGTTATGGTCCATAACTCTGGACTAAATTGTCAGACCGTAACAAAATTTGAACTTGGTCTATAACTTGTTATGATAAAACTATATACCAAATATCAAATCAATATCTTCAAGAACGAAGAAAAAAAGTGTGGAAAGCTGACTTGCCGGACTGACGGATGGACAGACGGACAGATGGACAGACGGACGGAGTGCAAACCGAAAGTCCCTTTCGACTTCGTCGGTTGGGGACTAATAATCAAAACGTTTTGTACAATTTTTTGATAATTTTTTTTTGGTGCCTTCCTACAGCATGTTCAGGAAAACATAACAGCAAAAATAAAAAAAAAATAGCCTTTCTAGACATCATAATTATTTGGACAAGGTATACATGTATGTAAAGCAAAATATTGTCCTATGTAATATTGTCTACAAAGGCAATATTTCGTGACTTTGTATCATGAAATGTTGTTCCCATCTATGAAATAATGTCCAGAAAAGGACAATTTAGACCATACACAGACAATATTTCATAGATGGACAGTATGAAATTTTGTCTCATGAAAGTGAGGTTATAAATATTTAGTATTTGGATAATGGTATCATTAAAGTGTTTTATTTGATTGAAAATTACAAACAAATATGCATAATTTACACACTATTTTTTGAAAAATATTTTGAAAAATTCCTGAAATGCTCACCATTTCATGGCAGAGGTTTTTCTCAGGGAAGATATTATTAGATTAAGAAATATTTTAATAGACTAGAGAAGGGACGACAGCCCAGGTGCAGTGTGCAAAAACTTTTCAGGTTGTGTGGTTTGATTTCAGCTTCCCTTTGGCAATTTTAAGTATTGTAAAAGATCGATTTGTTCATGTTTTAATTTCAAATATATTCTAATGCAATCATAGAAAATATAGCAAGTTTTAACATGGAAAGATTTATTGATGACATAAAAATTTTAATGTAATTTTTACTTCTTCTGTGTAAATTTTATCTATAAAGATTATGTTCTGTAATGGCGGGAACTTTTATTCAAGGTCTGTAAAAATACAAGACACAAATTTTTGTTAATATTTCGTTAGTTTGCAAGTAAAAAACATCGAAATTTTTAACAGTTTAAGAATATTGTTCAAACAGCCTAAAATAATAAAAGGTCTTCTTTCTTAAGTCTCCATTCGTTGCTTCATAGTAAGATGCTAAAAAACATTGATTTTCGAATAAAATGTAAAAATATAGTTGTCAAATCCGTGAGTAAATATGTAAACCTTAGCCATTATCATGAAAACCATCTATTGTGTATTTTTAAATATATTCAAGATAAAATAA